TATTCATTACTTTTTAGTTACTGTGATGAAACACTATAACCAAGACAATTCATAGAAAAAGCAGTTTACTGGGGACTTAGAGTTTCAATATAATCATGGTGGGTGTCATGGCAGCAGGCAGGTAGGCATAGTGCTAGAGCTGTAGCTGAGAGCTTACATCTTGGTCCACAAGCATGAGGTGTGCGTGCATGTGCACACACACACACACGTATGCACACATGCATGCACATGCACACACATGCATACACAATCTCATCAAGAAGTGATTCATTATTGCATATAATAATACAGTACAAAATGATGATTTTTTTAAAATTCCATTTAGTTTTTGAGACAGTCTTTTCTTTCCTATTTTTTTCCAACTTGTTTCAAACCCAAACCACTTGCGTTTTTAGCAGCTTCTCCTTTGGGCTTGACTTTGATCACAATTCTTAACTGCTTGCCAACTTCTGATGGCCACCACTTTTCTCATCTTCAAAACTGTTGTTCTTTTGAGACGTCTTGAACTGTCTACCGCATGTTCCTCGGCAGTTTCTGAGTCAAATGCATTTCTGAGTCTTCATGGTTTGTGGCCTATCTTGTACTCAGATGGGATGATTGCTCATATTTGTAGCTTGTCTAATCTTTTCATAATGATAAAGTTGAGGGAGGCAGGTCTCTTTTCTCCACTTTTACAGCCACAGATAGGCTGCTCCTATTCCAGTCAGTAACCTCCCACCCAAGCTTGGACAAGAAACTTTCATTAAACTCTGGACCACAAACAAAAAGATGATGTGAACATAGCAGGGGGACTTGTTGAGAAAAAGGGTTTCATTGGGAGAGCGATGAGGATGAAAGGTGAAAATGGGGGTAGAAAAACTATTCATTAAATAGATACAGGAAACTGTCAATACATTTTTAGAACTTAAACAGCAAGTAATAAGTCATTAGCAAAAAGAAAGCAAGAAATGTGCATTAAGATGATATATGACACATATCATTATCACTTGTATCAAAAATGTATTTCAGTATTAGATAGCAAGTTTCAGTTTTGCAAAAACTGAAATTACTTTTGGAACTGACCTACTAGCTAAACTGCAAGCTTCCAGGAATTCTCCGCTCTCCAGGGAGATTGGAGTAGACCTTAGTAAAGAAAAGAGAATCCCAGCTCTAGTAAACACTAAGAAGACATTTATAAAAATGAAACTGGAAAGAGAGAGGCAAAGCTTCCCTGTGGGATCAGATACACAGCTGACCATCTGAAGAAAGAATGAGTAAGTCAGGCAGTGACAGGAAGGGAAACGGGAGCAACTGTGGAAGATTGCAGAGAGACTAAGAAGGAAGGGGCTGTTCCCACCGCAAGCAAGGAAGCATTCTGATCAGAAAAGAGACTGAGGGAAGGCACTCGGATGATGCAGAGCCTTGCAGGCCAACTTAGAGAGTTTAGATTTTCCTGGGAGTTGTGGTAAACTGAGAAAGACCATAGGCTTAGGTTCTGCAGTGGAAAACACCACTCTGGTTGCTGTGGCCAGGAAAATGTACGCACGAGCACAGTGTGTGATATACCTAAAGGTCTTCACTATGTAGTTTACTATCCTTGTTCGTAATCCTCTAGATTTTTATTTTCCCCCAACATCATGTTTTTATTAAATATTTGGGAATTTTGGACAATGTGCTCTGATCACACTTGCTTCCTATTCCTCCCAGGTTTACCCTCCCATTTTATGCCCTCACTGCCCCAACCCCCAAATAAGTCCGATTTGTGTTCTTATACTCACTGAAGCTTGATCAAACTCCCAGTATCCGGTTCCTTAAGGAAAACTGAGTCCTTCCCACCCACACCTCACCATTGCCCACCAGGAGCCATCAACTGAGAAGAGGAAGAACATACTGCAGCATCTTTATCACAACTTTTTAAGAAATCTCTTCAATAGCTTCATGTTTGGATTGTTTTTTTTTTTTTTTGGTGGGGGGGTCATGGCACAGAAGCCTTCAGTGTCTCTAATTCTCAATTATGAGTCTGCAGTCATCGATACCACCGCAAAAGAGGTATCTCTGCCCATAGCAGCCAGCAGCATGGATTGTGGATGTCAGCCTTGTTTCCTGTGGCAGCATGGACCATAGAAGTCTTCTGAGGAGACTTAACTCAGAAAATGAACATTCTTCATCTTGGATATCATGTTATTGTGTAGAGTTGGGGTGCTCATGTGGTTGAACAGAGTGTCTTGGGGCAGAACCTGCACAAACTGCCCTGCTGCCGTACCACCCCACCCTTGGCACAGGCCACCCTGCCAGTCCACCCATCTTGTCTGAAGCCTTTGGCAGCCCATGCTCTCTTCCCCCAAGCAGGGCGAACAGTGAACAGCTCTAGCAGCGGCTGTGGCAGCAGCAGCAGCAATGGCTCCATGCCGACTGGGCTGTGGCACTGTCCTAGAAGGCTGTGACAGAGCAAGGTGGACCCAGTGGTGGCCTAAGCATCCCTGCAGCCTGGGGACCAGCTCTGCTTGGCAACGCTTTCTCCTTTGTCTGAGGTGACTGGGCTCCCCTACTCTAGCTCTCCTTCTCTGACCATGCTTGCTGCTCTGTCCTCCATCTTTTTTCCACCCTCTAAGTCACTATTATTTTCTTTTTTGAGGCAGGGTTTCCCAGTAGCTATGGAGCCAGTCTTGGAACTCATTTTGTAGACGAGGCTGGCCTTGAACTCACAGAGATCGGCCTGCCTCTGCCTCCCAAGTGCTGGAATTAAAAGCATGTGCCACAATCATCCAACTCACTATTCTTAATAGCCATAAATTACAACTATTCAACAGCAAACAATTTTTATTTATGAGTTTATTTGTGATCGTATATACAGTGAGTTAATCTTCACATCTAAAAAGTTTAAAAACTGAGGCACAGAAAAGCTAGTTCAGGAGCATGCTCAGTCTGAGGTTATTAAGAGGATAGGACCAACCAAGAAGTGCAATCATCTGTGGTCCAAGGCAAGGGAGAGTGCTGTGTTTCCAATGCGCCCAACTGTTAGTTCAATCTATTTCTGCTTTAATTTCTTATCACTGGGAGTTAGCCATCATTGCTTGTTGTTTGGATGGTATTAAACTCCAAGCAAATATTAAGAAAATAGAAATCTGTCCATGTCTCTAACTTCTCTTACTCATAAAGACTTCTTAGATTGTTCATAAAAATAGCAAGATATAGAGATCCCTGGACCTTTTCCTTATGACATAAGGAATGTTGAGAATCACTCAGCGAAGCAGGAAGAAGAATGCACACTTGGGAGTTTCAGAAGCTGGTGAAAAGAAAGAATGCAAGTGGAACTAAGTAACTCAAATAGAATAGTTAATATAATATGGATTTTCTGTTGTATCAGGGAATTAGAAGGAATAATTGCACCAGGGTCACACTGATCTTCTCTGTATTGTTGCGTTTTTACTCTATGTGTGGCGGACATGAGCAAAGCCATTTACAAAACCACAGTATTTTCAACAGAGCATCCTGTTGAAAATATCAAAGAAGCTGACTAATTCTTAGTGCAGAAAAGAGGAGAAAAAGTAGATGAAGCAAGCAGCCCAAAACACCAAGAGCCTCAGTTTTCTGTCGACAAAAGAGAAAGAGTGACCGTCACAGTTCTAGTTCCTGGGACGTGAAGGGAAGCGTGAACTCTGTCTCTCACCAGTGACCTTATTCATCCTTACCCTCATTTTCATGTGTTTTGCATATACCTTACTGCACATTTCAATTCATTCATTCACGCATTTATTCATATTCCATTGAACAAGCACTTTTTAATTGTCTCCCACCCAGCATGCGTTTTCCTATGTATGATGAACATTGCAGTTAACTAAGAGTTTGTGTATCCTCTAAGAAGAGAAAGTTGCAGGCAGACAAAAGAATTCAGCACAGTGCCTGACATAAATTAAAATTTAAAGCATGGTCTGAATTAATAGAGAAATTACTATTTAAGCAACTATTTGGGAAATGTTATGGGTAATTTCCCACCATTTATTTTAAGACATGATCTTATCCTATAGTGCTGGATAGTCAAGGATGTCCTCAAACTATGGTGATTCTCCTACCTCTGCCTGCTAAATTATAGAATCAGGTATGAGGCACCATCACACAACATGTAGCTAAAGTATATAAAATCACAAGCTTAAAAGTTACTTATAATCCAGAAATAAGGCGCTTTACACCACTGAACTAGCCTGTAACTCCTTGAGTAATCAAGATTTTTTCTTGGGGATTAAAGAATTTGTGATGAATCGTGCCTTAATTACCATCCCATTGCTGCAAAAAGATACCACAGCCAAGGCAGCTTGTAAAAGGGAGCCCTTAAGTGGAGGCTTGCTTACAGTTTCAGAGGGGGAGTCCACGGCCATCATGGTGCATGGCAAGGCAGTAGGCAGGCAGGGAGGCAGGTGTTGGAGCCTAGCCAAGGCCTTATATCTTATCCAAAGATGGAGGCAGTGAAAGAGGGAGACTGGATCTGGTCTTGTGAACTTCTGAAACCCCCCAATCCATCCCCCACCCCCACCCTGTGAGATACCACTGCCAGCAAAGCCACATCTCATATTCTTTCCTAAACGCTCCACCAACTAGGAACCAAGCACTCAAATATAAGAGCCTATGGGAACCATTCTCATTCAAACCACCATAAGTGCTGGGACATGCCATGCAGACTGGGTGATGACATCATAGCCATATTCTTGCTCAGCTTCGTATTGATTCTCATCCCAACAGGGTTTTTTTTTTTTCTCATTCACTTTCATCCATACAACTGGAGCACATTAGAGAAAAATTGCTCCTGAAGTTTTGGCATTAACTGGTGAGATCTCTTGGCACCAGGTAATCAGAAACGTCACCGTCAGTGAAGAAGATACGTGTTTTTAATTCTAAAAATGCACATTCATGTGAAAGCTTTCATATGGCAATATTTAAAGTCCGCATACAAACTCTCAGCCCCTGCATCTGGAACAGCAGCACGGTGGTGCGGATACTGACGAAGCAACTGTGCCAGAGGCATCTCTTTAAATAAATAATTTAATCACCGTCACAATGTTTATTGCATCTCTAAGCACGTACCTTCCTCTGGGTTTCAGTTCGATTGCATAACAAGATTTGAAGATACACAGGTAAAAAAAAATATCAAACATCAAGATAAGCTACGCCTTTCACAAATACACACTTTTACTTGGAATTAATTCCTGAAACAAAAACCAACACATTTGTTTATACCTCTTTTGACCCACCGAAATTTGGGACAAAAGTCAAATTACCGTCAAAGGAAAACCATTCCTGTGTAAAGACAGGGTAATGTGGGTTGGTTTTCAAGTGAGATCAGCAACCTTGTGATTCAAGAGTGTGTTAGAGATTATCCTGCCTATAAGAGTGAACACAGCTTCAGACTCATGCTTGGCATGCCGCTGCATGCTGTAGAAATAGAACGTCACATTTATGTGGAATTCAGCCCATGAGTGAAAGCCCCCCAAATAATCAAGCTCCATAAATTTATACCTTTTCCCAAGGAAAATAACAGTAGTTTGACAACTTAAATTATACTTCATTTTCCTTATATTTATTTTCCATATTCCATTTTCTTTGTCCTATGCAAGGAAGATGTCTCAGTGGGCTCGTGTTTTCACAAGTGTGCCTGTTGGAATACCAACTCTAGTCTCCCACTTTGGAAAGAGTGTGGTGATACCTAACACAAGTTCACATTAGATAGAGTCTCCTTCCTAGATAAAGGATATCTGGTCTCAGAAAAAGTAATTCAGAAAACCAGTAGTTAAAAAAAAAAGTGCTATTGAAAAACAGCTTGTTTATCTTGAAACTTTTAACATTTAAATTCTATGACTAGAATTTTAGTATAGAATTTAAACATCTAATGAATCTTGTGTGTTTCATTTCAGCTTATTGGTAACATCTATTAAATAAAGTATATCTATAAACCTGGGATTGATGCATTCTTTGCAAAGCCTAAAGATGTAAGATATCCGGTACTTAAATGGTTTAATTTTAAATTATGAACACTATAGTTTCAAAGGTGAACTTTCAGTTTTCTTCTTGTGCCTTTAAAACCTAATGTAAGCCACTTCACATGTTTCTCCATTGGCGTGATAACCTGGCTAACTAGTAACATGGTTGTTGTTAAAGGTTAGGAAATCATTTTAAAATAAAAGCATTACTCTCCAGTTCCATGCTTTCTCTAAACAAAATCGTCAGCTCTTGCCCCACAAGTATGAAGTAGTAGTAACAGATAAATGAAATATTACTGATTATGAAGTACAATCTAGTACTTCTTGTAAGGTGGTCACTTTTATTGATAATTCAAATTACCCCGATTTTGTGGAATTGAACATGTGGACATGTAATTTCTTACAGCAATCATTGTGAATGACTTCCAGGTAGTCTATCTCCCAAATAGTCTATGACAGATGAGCATCTGCTAAGGTGATATCTAAATATGTAAACAAAATTCTAGGCCACTGTAACTGTTCCTCTTCGTTTTTCATATACATCACCATGCCTGAGAGAGGACGAGATTAAAGCTCCTTACTCCAGCGCACCTGGATGGATGAGATCTTTTCCATGACATATTCATATAGATTGTCTCGCATCATATTCAGCAATGTACTGTCCTTCTGGGTGCTGATGTTGAAGATGCTCCAACATCGAAGAGATGTGCAGAGTGTGCTGGCTTCCGTGGCGTGTTATAAGTCAAAGACCAATGGCCATTCCGTTTTCTACTCATTTTTCATTTCTTGCAAAGACCAATTAAATAATAATGTTAGCATTGCCAATTTTCAATATCTCTACTATCTTTCAGATTTCTTTATTTTGAATGCTATGTATGTGAGTGTTTTGCCTGCATATATGAATGAGCAATACATGTATGCAGGGCCCTTAGAGGCTAGGAGAGGGCTTCAGATCCACTGGTACTGGAATTAGACATAGTTTTGGAGCCACCATGTGGGTGCTGGCAATAAAATTCTGGTCCCCTTCAAGAGAAGCAAGTGTCATTTCTCCATGCCCTCAACTGTATTTATTTATCTACTTTAATTTTTCCCATACTTTCTGCTCTGCCTAATTCCATTTCTGGCCACCGACCTGGCCCATCTCATTTCTTATTGACATTATAGCTCAGTTAAATCGAAGGGACAGTAGTAGTAACAGTACTGAATCAGATCATGAGAACTTCATTTGATCTCTACATGGCTTCCAAAATAAATCACGTGATCAAAATAAATCTGAGTATCTGTCTTCTCAGAAGCAAATGAGCAAAGACGAGCTGCCTCCAAAGATTGCTTCAAAGACAGAATAAATGAAATGAATGCTGGAATAACTATGAACTCCAGGATCCAAGTTTTAAAAATGCTTCTTTGGGCACCAAACAAGCAGTATTTCTGCATAATAATTGAAGTATAGAGCACTGCAGATTCGAGTGGCAGCCAGTGCAAGCATTGCTTAGACCCTCCTCTTCTCTATGGGCAATTCTCTTTTTAAAAATAAAAAGGTTTTAATAAATATGCACGATTCTTATTAAAGTCAATTGTTTGTGTTTGCATTAAGATGCTCCCAGTCTGCCAGTCTCATACACAGTACTTCATGCTTGTTTTCAACCACTGTCATTAAAATACATTTTTTCATATTGAAGGTTTTTAAAATCAAACTGTTGCCTTGTACAGAGTTTTAGCTGGCCGCTAGCAGCACTGATTATGGATTTCAGGTGTTGTACCTACTGTCTATGGTAAGTGGGCTAAAGCAGCACTCAAACTTCTGATGCTGCCCACCTGACGTCAACCCAGGTCCTGCCCTTATTGTTTTGTTTTGGGGCTTTCTCCCACAAGAAGAACCTCAGACCACACATATTCACGTAGAAGGTCCTCTTTTTTTTTTTTTATAGGTGAGTTGGCCTTTCATTGCGCACTAATAGAGGTCACGACTAATCTGAACTAATGCATTTTCTTTTCTTTCCAAAAGTTATCTTATACTTCCTTGATGCTAAAATCATACCAAATACTTTTTGCTGGCTTGCTTTCTCTGCACTTAGCTTAGCATACTGCATGCAGGGAAGGGAGTCTCTGAGGCGTTCCCTAAAAGTTAACTTAAAACATGTCAAGATAAATTAGGGTGTGTCCTCTTCTTTTTGGCTTGTTTTCAGCACCGAGTCCTCTCCCAAAATTTTACACAGTTCATTGAGTCTCTGCTGCATTTTGGGAATTCCAGCCAGTTGTGACTCTAACTTTTGTTTTTCTTCACTTAATGTTAAGCGGATAGCGGTGTCCAGCTGTTCAAAGCGCCAACCTCCTTCGCCATCAAATTGTAACAAGTGAGTGTGGTATTTCCTGCATAATTAAAATGGAGTATTATGAGCCATTATTTTGAAAAGCCATTTTAGTTATAGAATTTTATAACTGGTGTTCAAAGACAAATCTTAGTAAAGACAGATATTTTACATTTGAATTTTAATTTACCTGAGAAAACATGGATATTCTTGAAATCCAAACTCTTTAATCTCTAGGAAATTCTTCTTGATATTACTAAATTTATTTCATATTTTGAGTAAATATAATTTACAAAAGAATACTATTCTTGTATTAATCTAACCACATAATCCAGCATGTCTTTTGAATAAATAATAAAAACATTCTTAGAATGGAAATAAGGAAGAGGAAACCGAGGAAAGACAATACAATTTAAAAGATCATACAGAGAAAAACTAAAGAATGTGAAGGAAATACAAAATCAACTTATTTGTATGTAAAACCATCCTCTGGGATAAATTCTATGTAAGTGCAACTTTCTCGGTAATAATAATTTAGAATAATATTTACATGCCTGCCCCAGGAATCTTTTAGAGAAATTCTCTTGTTGCCCCATAGATTCATTCTTCTTTCATGGTTCAGCTACATAGAAATTGCAGAGAGATACAGAGATTTGTAGTGAAAGATGGGAGGCAATCCATCTCCTAAGCGATGCCTACGCCACTAGCAGAGGATTGGGGTGGGAGAAGGTAGTAGGACTGGCAGAGCTTTTCCCACGGTAAGCCACCTGTACTTGGGCACTTAGCATAACTGGACCGTGATTCTTCAGTGTTTATGACTTTCTTCAATGTTTTATCTTATACTTATTTTATCAACTAATTATTATTTATTATAACTAGTTAGCCTTCTATATCAGTTTCTATTTTATATATGGATGTTAGCTGTTAAGTTTTCAACAAACAGGTCACAATCCTTATAACCACAGAGGTTAGGTATGGAGTAAGGGATTAGTGGGGAGGGAAGGACCTCCTAAGGAATGGGAAATAGAATAGATAGTTATGCATGGATGGAAGGGCTGGATGAGAGAATTAAATGGAGAGGGAAGGGAAGGGGGGTGACGTAGGGTATATGGGATGAAAAGGTAAAACTAGGGGGCATTTGAAGGGTATGGAAAGCTATTTCAATGGAAATTTCTTAAAATATATACGCATATATGAAAGACATCTAAATGGAATCACCAAGTAATGGGAAAGACAAAGTTCCAATATTAACATCACCTGCCACCAAATACATTATCCAGGACCAGATTTGTAATACATCTAATTGAGTTGTTGACCAAAGGGACACCGTGGAAACTCACAACCCAGGCCATGTCAACCAGTTGTTCTCCACAGACTGATGGTAAGACCCTATTGCTAAAGACAACACTTACAAAACTCATTAACCACAGAGAAGTCAAGTTGGTCTATATCTGGATCCTTCATCACTACTGACTGGCGTTCATGGTACTGGAAGGTACTCAGCACACTTTCAGAGGAGAAATGTAGTACCGACCCAGCTACAAAGACTGATCTACAAAAGTGTCCTGCCTGCATGCTATGCCAGTGCAATAGTGGCACAAATGATGTGGAACTAACCAACCACTCTCTGGCCACTATAAGACCCACTCCATTATATGGAACCCTTTCCTAACACTGCTTGGATGGCCAAGAACTTAAGACTAGATAGGGGAAAACCAAATACTACTGTTATACTAAAGAAAGGATTGCTCACTGTCATCACAGAAGCTTCCTCCTGCAGGAGCTGGGAACAACTACAGACACTCACAGCTGGACAATGTGTGGAGAGAGAGAGACCTTGGAACATTCAATCCTCTGCAGGATGTCTCCATCAAACCGCTAACCCCACCCCACAGCTCAGGAAACCTTGTAGAAAAGGATACTGAAAGATCTTAAAAGCCAGAGAGGAGAGAGAATTCTGAGGAAACAAGGCCTTCTAGATACAACAGCACACATGAACTCGGAGACTATCACATGCCCTGGACCTGCTAAGGAGGCCTAAGACAGATGGGTTCCAATGTTGAGAGAAGTGAACACAAATAGCCCAGAAGCTATTTCCAATCGACAACCACTCACAAAGAAAAAAATATGTTTCTCCAATGGAGTCTCACTGGGAATGAATACATACCACACTTTAGGACAGACCCCATGTCAGCAGGAGATTTCAAACACAAAACAAACTCAATGATATTTGTGGAGTATTTTTTTCTAATAATGCTTTGTGTGGTGTTTTTTTTAAACCTTACAGGTCTTATGCTTACATGTTATTGTTTTCCATTTTGTCATTTTATGAAATTTCTGTGTGAACAGAAGTGTGTGTCTTTACATCTATCTGTATTTTTTTGTGCTTTTTCTTTGGCTCTTTTCTTTTGTCTGTTTGGTTGTTGTTTTGTCGCCTGTTTTCTGGTGAGGGAGAGAAGGTGTGGGGTAGGTGGGTAGGGAAGAGGGGGAGAAGGTGGGAGGCGCTGGGGAAGGGGAACTGTGATCAGAATATAGCATATGAAAAACATTATTTTTAATAATAAGAAAATGAGTCCAAAATATTGACCTTTTAACATATAAGTCCACATAAAAGTTAAATTGAAAACACTGTATTTATATTTCAAGGAGGAAAATTTACAAAAAAAACCCATAACCATATAATTGAAATAGGAAGTTTAGAGACAGTGAAATAGTGAGATGGCTCAGTGGGTTAAAGGTATTTGCTGAGAGGGCCTTCTCCTTTAAGTAGATAACAGTACAAAAATCATTCATGATTTCTGATCCTTCCCTTCATTCTTCAACACTGTTATAATGGCTAAGGGAGATTTAATGCCAGTTCCTACCAGGCTCATTTTTTTTCTTAAAGCCAACAACAAAAACAAAAATGGTTTCTATATACTGTGATCCCTCTAACTTGGTAGTTTTGGAAGTATTGTTATAACGTTTTTATGTTTTCCCCAGATTTTAAAGGAAACGTTGAAAGAATTGAGTAGCCTTACATTACTCCATAATCTTTCACTGTACATTCTAGTATTATAAATATTTTTAGTTCAGATAAACCATCAGATTTTCATGTAACTTTTCAAAATGATTAGAGGAACTCATTTTCATATAACATATTAAAGTTACATTAGGCTGGGGGGACCTAAAGTGTTAGGGAAATCAGAAAAGGACAGATAGAAAATAAATGAAATACCTTATACTCTACAGGGAGAAATTTAGCAAAGTTATCCTTTAAGAAGAACAAACAGAGCTTCCATCCATAGTAGGATCCAAGAAGCACCTACCACAGAGAAGGTCTGTGTGTTATGGACAGTAAGGAAATCCCAGCTCCCACAGCAGCCTGAAAGATCTTTCCTTCCACATCAATGCTCACGGCTCTGGTACATTCATCCAGCAAGGCGTACTTTGGTCTGGGGAAAAAAATATAAAGAGATGAATGAATTTTCTCGGAAACTGTGTCTTTCTTTGTACAGCAGGGAGTAGGAAGAATGTGACATTGGTCATGATGGAAGTGGCAAAGCAAACACAGCTGTTTTAATTCATTTTATTTCTTTCTTTATTTTTTTTACTTGCCCAGCAACCCGACCTAGGTTACTGAGACTTGAGTCAAAATGAACACTACCATTTGGTATTTTTATTTTGGTTTTAAAAATTAGGGTCACTTCTTTCTTTCCAATTTGTATCCCCTTGATCTCCTTTCGTTATGTTATTGTTCTAGCTAGAACTTCAAGAACTTTGTTGAATAAATAAGGAGAGAGTGAACAGCCTTGTCTTGTTCCTGATTTTAGTGGGATTGCTTTGAGTTTCTCCCCATTTAATTTGATGCTGGCTGTTGGCTTGCTGTCTATTGCCTTTATTATGTTTAGATATATTCCTTATAATCTTACTGTCTCCAAGCCCTTTATCATGAAGGGGTGCTGGGTTTTATCAAATGTTTTTTTCAGCATCTAGTGAGATGATCATGTTTTTTTTTTCTTTCAGTTTATTTATATGGCAGATTACATTGTTAGATTTTCATATGTTGAACCATTCTTGCATCTCTGTGATGAAGCCAATTTGATCATGATGGATGATTTTCTTATTTGATGTGTTCTTGGATTCAGTCTGCCAGTATTTTATTGAGCATTTTTGCATCAATGTTCATGAGTGAGATTGTTCTATAATTCTCTTTCTTGGTTAAGTCTTTGTGTGGTTTCAGTATCAGGGTAACTGTAACTAAATAAAATAAATAAAATAAAAGTTTGACAATGTTCCTTCTGTTTCTATTGTGTGGAACAATTTGAGAAGTATAGTTATTAGATCTTCTTTGAAGTTTTGGCAGAATTCTACACTGAAACCATCCGGTCCTGGTTTTTGTTTTTGTTTTTTTTGTTTGTTTTGGTTTGGTTAATTTTGGCTGGGAGGCTTTTGATGACTGTTCCTATTTCCTTGAAGGTTATAGGTCTATTTAACCTGTCTACCTGGTCTTGATTTAGTTTTGGACTCTCCAGAAAATTGTCCATTTCTTTCACATTTTCCAATTTTGTGGAGTACAGGTTTTTCTAGTATGACCTAATGATTCTCTGAATTTCCTCAGCATCTGTTTTTATGTCCCTCGTTTCATTTCTAATTTTGTTAATTTGGATGTTCTCTCTTTGCCCTTTGATTAGTTTGGATAAGGGTTTGCCTATCTTGTTGATTTTCTCAAAGAACCAGCTCCTTGTTTCATTGACTCTGTATTGTTTTCTTCATTCCTATTTTATTGATTTCAGTCCTCAGTTTGGTTATTTCCTGTCATTTATTTCTCCTGGGTGATTTTGCTTCTTTTAGTTTCAAAGTTTTCCAGGCCAGTTTTCACCATGAAATTATATTTATTTATTTTTAATTTTTGTTTTTTGAGATTATCATTACATCATTCCCCCCCCTTTTTTCCTTTCACGCTCTCCTTCCCATGTACTCCACCCTATTCTCTTTCAAACTCATGGCTTCTAACACCAAATCAGCAGAAATTTTTAATTTTACATAAACTTGGCATTCTAAGTTATTTTCTAACACGTGTTTGCTGATTAATAGGATCCTATTACCTATTCTGGAGATGGTGAAGGCTCCTAGATGCAGGGGTTAAAGCATTTTTAATGCTCCATGGGATTGATTAAGAAAGTGTTTAATGATCACTGCAGAGTCCCCAAGACAACAGCAGAGGTGTTTGTATATATAAAATATTATTTCTTTCTCCGTGTTAATTATTGTTTGTGATTTTAGTTAAGTAGAAAAAATGAAAAAAGAATAAAAGAGAAATATTTAGGTAAAATCATGAAGCCCTTCATTTATTGTATTTTGTCTTGCTTGTTAGAGTGTTTTGAACTAAAGAAGATATGCTATTTTTAAATAGAGAAAAGTATATTTTATACTCTGTTGTTAAAACAACTTTTAGTCTAAGGAATGTAAGATGAATCATATACTTTTTTTCTTGGCAGACTTAGACAGTGTGTGTGTGTGTGTGTGTGTGTGTGTGAGAGAGAGAGAGAGAGAGAGAGAGAGAGAGAGAGAGAGAGAGAGAAAGAGATTGGGCACTTACAGAACTAATACTCATAGTATTAAATGATATCATCTCTTAGATTTTGTTTCTCTTTTGCCCCCTTGCTGTATTGTTAATGGTATAGTATATATGAAGGACTGAAGCTATCCTTCTAAGACGGATTTTCCTGGTCATTCTTTAAATATTAAAATCATAAGACTCTCATAAAGCATATCCTACTTATGCTTTATGATAGTATGCATGGTATAATCTCTGGCCAGAGTTCTCTGTTGTCGCTGGCTCAGATCTTTGCTATTAAAGTTCAGTATGTGATGTCATCTCATTGTCATGACCTTATTGCTGATTTTGTGAGGATGGGAAGACGCAGTTTCTCAACAATGCACTTTTCCTTCGCTGTGTTTAATTTTCTAATTTGTCTGATTCTTTTGCAAAAGTGCTGCCTTTAACCACGTGCTTGTCTTCCTTGATCTCACAGAGCTGACTTGATCTTCACTCATTATTACGTTAGACCTACACCCCTTCCCAATCACAAATCCCAATTATTCCAAATTACAGGTACTTGAAATATCGGGTTATCTTCTTAACACAGAGAAAAGGAAACTGGTCACTTGCAATCTCCCACATCACCCTTCACAGGTTGCTGATCATATTATTGAGTATTTGTGGATGAAACTCAAGACAGTTCACAGAGATGGGCTAACAGCTGGCCATAAATGTCAAGCTGCTGTTTGCCCTTGAGTCTCACTGGAGAAAGCAGCATTTCAAATCATAGCTGGAAAAGTCCGGAGTTAAAAATGTTCTGTTCATTTTTTAAAAAAAGACTGTCTATTCTCAGACTAACAATGTCAACTTATTATTATAATTCATATTAAGACAACTATGTTTCTTTCCTAAAAATCACAGATATGTATAAAATTGTAGAGTGCATGCTTTCATTTATGTGAGGTTATAAAGCAGATAAACCATAACAGCTATGGGCATATGCAGAACAGGACCAAAAAAGGGTTAAGAGCCATTTCCAGGGCAATAAACACATTCTCTATCTTGGTTGAGCTGTTGGTTACATAATGTTCCTACATTTACAAAAGATTATTGAATTATATACCTACAACATATACTTAATACATACATTTTATAACAACGATAGCGAACTCAGGCTAAGTGTTAAAGAATAACAATGAGAGGCATATGATAGCATATGAAACTAAGGAAGGGATATGAATTGCAAATTATGAAACACATGAAGACAATTAAGATTACCACCAACTTGTGCATGATAAGACCAGAAGGAAATTTATTCAAAAATTTAACAATGTTTTTGACAGCTAATGGGATAGAATACTTCTAATTCTTTTTATCTACCAGTGTTTTCTAAATAAACATATAATTATGATATATTATTCTAATGATAAATAACATGTGCTATTATCTTATAAGCTGAAATATATGGAGTGTCTAGTGAAATAAAAATAGACACACTCAAAAGTATAAATTTTATACACATTTAGTAAGATATTTTTTTTAAAAATGTCATTCAGTTTCTCTGTCTCCTCTGGTCTTTGTTTTATTAGATTTTTGTACTACAGTTGTTTACTTGTTTGTGTGTGAGTGTGCACATCACGGTACATGTGGAGGACAGAGGACAATGTGCAGTAATTGTTGGGTCTCTCATTCTTATCATATGGGTCTAGGGCAGTGGTTCTCAATCTGTGGGTCACAACCCCTCTCTGAGGGTAGCATATCAGATATCCTGCATATCAAATGTAACCCATAACAGTAGAAAAATCACAGTTATGAAGTAGGAAAGAAATAATGTTATGGTTGCGGATTATCACAATATGAGGAACTGTATTAAAGGGTCGCAGCGTTAGGAAGGCTGAGAACCACTGGTTTAAGAGACCCAACTCAGGTTGTGATTGGTGGAAGGCACCTTTCGTCACTGATCCAGCAATCTCTCCAGTCTCCCAGTCCGATATTACTTAACCTAAGATGGGACTGCTGAATCCTGCCGAACCCTTTATTATGTCAGTAACGGATCATAGTTTTCTGAGCACAGCACACTTACTTATGATAGAACATCCGGGCCATACCCATCCTTTGCTTTTCCCCTCCCGAGAGGACATCTTTCCAGTCCATAACAGCATCCCATCCTAAAAAACAAACGAGCAAACAATAAATGCATACATACATACACACAGTTACGGATACTTTGCTGATTTGTTACTACTTCTATTCTGGACTAGTAGTTCGTGGCCTGTTTTGATTGAAAATGGGAAGAGCTTTGTATTTTGTAAAGCATATGGATAGATTCCAGAGCCATATGCATGAGTATCTTATGTTAAATATGATATTAGAAACCAGCTGAATTGAAAGCTCATACATATACATATTCCCACTCTTTCATATATGTCTTATTCTAAAGAAACTTACAATGAAGAAGTTTTACATGCTATTTAATCTCTTATTTCTTGCCTAAAGATATATATATATATATACACACATACAAATAGATATTAGATATTAGAAAGGTTATGGGACTGAAAACAAACAAATTGTGTGAAATCTACTTTTCAAAATGATATTTAATGTAAGGTGAAAGAGCTCGGCTAGCAAATATTTCATTATAGACCTTACATACATCTAGAACAATGGTGACCTAAGGAATACTTAAACACGTAAATATCAAGGCCTTTAAGTGCTAGATATGGTGTTATGGAGACTGGTAAAAGGGAAAGGCGCCATCTTAATCACAAGACAGGCAAAACCGGAATATCTATAACAGAAAAAGAAGAAAATCCTACCTAGATGCAAGGGTCTAATAGTATCTCATATACAGAAAAGACAGACTTGATACACGCCTGGGACAGTCATCACTATTGTCACCTTGACTAGAGTTAGTCCCCCATTGTGCTGCATGCCTATGTGTTTTAGCGAGAGCACTTCTAGAGAGACTTGACTGAAAAAGAAGACCTGGGATGAAACTCAGGAAGGACAAAAGGGAGAGAGGGAGAAAGCCGGAGGCTTTCCCAGGTGAGAATTGTGCTGTAGCACCTCCTCTACACCATGACAGAGGGTCACCCCCAAAACGTTCAGCAAGAGGGGAAATGCATCCCACAGGCTGTTTCTGTTGGGTATTTGGTAACTAGTACCAAAGTTAGGTTTACTTACTTAATTAATTGATGCTTTTTTGGAAGTGGAGGAGGGGACAATGTTTTGATGTAGTCTCAGACTTGCTGCACAGGGGAGGGTGACTTGTTCTTGACCCTCCTGCCTCCATGCCCCAAGTGTTAACATGACTGGTGCACACCATCACACACAGCCCACAATTGCTCTGTAAATAAAGTTACACCACACTTTACAAAATGCCATACTCTACCTCCTTCTCTTTGAACTATGTGGTAGAGGTGGACACTGTGCAGAATGCCTTCTAGGTCCTGGTCAGTGTAACCTTTCTCGTGCATGTCATCCACCGAGTCAGGATAAATGACTTGATCACGCAGACTTCCAAGAGACATGTATGGCCTGTAAAACACCCAGCATGTGAGTCCTGGTGCAAAGGCATGTTAGCTTACCCAGGGTGAAAGCCCTGCTGGCTGGAACACAGCAGCCTTTTAACCCTCAATTTATAAGGTTATATTATGTTTCTTGACGAGTCTTCAAAATAATACCTGGTTTATGAAAACAGTAGAGATATACAAACAGAAAAGCTTTTTATAAGCGATCATTTGATTATTTTCTGCAGCAAAAATATTTTGTTTCACCACTGTGATGACTAGTCTTTGTTGTCCACTTGACTCGATCTAGAGCTGACTAAAACCCAAGGGTCTGGGCACACTAGTGAGGATTTCTTCTTAATTAAAACATGTGAATTGGGAAGACCTACTTTCAGTTCTGATCTTTTGATCGATCATCTTTAACTTGGACCACATCTTCTGGTGACAGCCTTTATGTAGGACATGGAAGAAGGAAGCTTTCTCTCTTTGCCTGCTTGTCATCACTTTCATTGGCAAGTTCACGCCTTCACTGTTATTAGTGCCTACTTCTTCCAGATCCTGGCATATATTGAAGACCAGCTGAGACATCCAGCCTTGTAGACTGAACAGTGGAATTCTTGGACTTTCCCTTGGTAGGCAGCCATTGGTGGACTAGCTGGACCACAGCCTGTGAGACACTCTAATAAATTACCTTTAAATATTTTCCTTAAATAAATCAATATTTATCTATCTGTCTGTCATTCTGTCAGTTCTGTTCATCTAATAAAACACTGACTATTACAGCCATATTTGATAAAGATTGCTTCTTACATCTAAAATTATTTACATTAAACATAAAACTTGGAGTTTTGACAGCAATGTAGACAAACAAACTGAGAGGCACAATTAGTAAGAAAATGTAAATTAATATGACATTGGTTTTCTTGTTTATCAGACTAGCAAAAAATCCAACAGCTTGATAATTCAGTCAGCTGACGGGCCCATGGGAAAAACAGATGTTCCCATACCATGGTGAAAATCCAACCTCCTTGGGGGAAATCTGGCAAATTGACGTGTATTTGCCTTTTGACCTACTTCTGGGAATTTTCTCGGAGGATATGCTCCTAAAAATGTCAAAAAGGAAAACTTTCCTGAGCTTACCCATTGCAGTGCCTTTGCAGGGTCAAAATATCCAAAGCCAAGTTAAAGGAGCAGGCGGAGAGAATCCTTGAATCGACTATCTCTACCTCCTGAGAGGACCTCTATCTGGACCTACTGTGAGGCACTAAAGAGGCCAGGCAGGTACCCAGGAAGAAACAGAGTGAGTTCTGTGGTCACCATTCAGCTGCAAAGGAAAAGGTGAAAGTGGACCCAGAGCAGGGTTTCTCACAGCAGCTTCAACAAGCTGACTGGATGACTGACTAGTCCTTGCCTGTGGCGTGGCATTCGCTGAGGGAAGGTTAGTGGCACACGTGGTCGGTCTCTATCCACTAGATGTCAGCATCATCTCCTCGAACATGATTTTAAACACTGTCTACAAGTCTCCACAATGGGGCAAATTCCCCTAGGTCACAAAGTTGTCCTCAATTGAGAAACACCGTTAAACAGTTTGTCACCTTCTATGAAAAGAAGATGAAGGTGATTGATATAAATACACACCTTTGGTTACACCTACAGGAGGGAGGAAACAGGAGAAGCAAGCCAGAAAAGGTCACCAAGGAGGTGAAATGGATAGAGTAAACATGTTCTCTAAACATCTTTTCTTTCTCTCTCTCTCTCTCTCTCTCTCTCTCTCTCTCTCTCTCTCTCTTCTGTTCTTGAGACATTGAGACAGGGTCTTATGATGTAGCCCTGCCTGTCCTGTGTAGACCAGGCTGGGCTTGAACTCACAGAGATCTACCTGCTTCTACCTCTCAGTGCTGGGTTAAAGACGTGCACCACACCCTTTCTATACAAGTTTTGATTTTATAGTCATGTTAAAATGTTATTATTTGATGAATAAAATTAACTAAACAGTTAGCTAAAATTAATTGAGAAGCAAGAAACTGACTGTTGTTTATCACTATCAAACAGATACCATGACCACAGAAGACAGGAGGAAAAGGATAGGAATGGAATGAGTTAAGAAACACTGGCTACAGAGCTTCAAGAAATTATATAACGATTCAAAACAGTTTCTTAACTCCATTCTCAGCTGGAGTATCTGAAGGCCATTTTTTCAAACAATCAGATCATGTAGGCAATAGAGTGCATTTCTCTTTGCGTTCAACAGCAAGTGCTCTTACCCACCGCATCATCCAGTTTGGCTCTTCATTGGTTTAGACCACCAGTATTTGGTGACTTGTGGCAGCAGCAGTGGAGACTAACACAGGCAGGGACTTCACAAACCGTGCCCAACTGGAGCAGCTCTGTCAGGAACACCAGGCCATCCTATGTAAGCGTCTGTTTTATCCAGACAGTAAGAGCGAGATGCTGTGGCTCAGCAGCCAGGAGTGCTGGCTGCTCTTGCAGAGGACCCCCATTTGGTTCCCAGTACCCATGTGATGGCTCACACCTATTTATAAATTCCAGCTGCTCCAATACCTTCTTCTGACTTCCAAAGGCATCAGGCATTTGTGTGGTGCATAGAAATGCATGCAGGTAAAACATTTATACACATCTTTAAAATATTTAAAAAATTACAACAGCCCTGTATGTTTGGCTGAGGAGAAAGGCTTTAAATACAAACCATGTTTTGCAGACTAAATGTCCACTTATTTTTTCACAGCATTTACAAAGTGTTTCTTTGAGGGACTCTTAGAACATAATTGTTTTGTATTATATCTAACTATTATTTGAAATAAGAATGTTTGTATTTCAACTACACACATACATAAAAGATTTTCGCAAATGCAAAGAACCACTTGAGTATCTTTGTTTAATTTGGCATGTGTTTAAGATTTCATATCAGCCTTTAATGTCTATAATTCAGTGACTTTTTAACACATCCACAAGATCAACTGGCCATCATCCCCAGCTTAAGAAAACTTTTCTTGGCTCCTACCTCTAGAAGCCCCATAGCCAGAATCAGACACTGTCATCTGGTGGCTCCTTGTAACCAGTCTGTTTTGCATCTCCATGGAGTTGCCTATTCTGAATATAACAAATACACAGACTCACACAATATGTGCTCTTTTGTGATTGACTTCTCCCTAATGGCAAAATGTTCTCAGGTTCAAGCATGTCTTAGAATGTGCTATATTCCTTTCTAGAGCTGAATATTATTATGATATTGTATTGTAGGTGCAAGCCACATTCGATTCATTCATTCCTTTCCTGAAGGATATTTCTTTGTTTACTACTTTGGGGAATTATGCACATTGGGTATAAACCAATAAAAGAAACTGTGGGGCAAAGATCTTTCTGGGCAATCGCCAAGCTGTTTTCCAAAAGAACTGAACCATCTCCAGTCACATTCCTGTCCTACATTTAAAGTTTCTCCTTCAGCCCTCTCTCCTATCCTTCTCCATTCTAGTCACATTCTCTTAAAGCAGAATACTGTTCATGTTCATTTGCTTACACACATCACCTTAAGCAGTCATTTGAAGAATTATCTTAAATTCACACCTACAAATCGTAACAGTAGCACTGGTTTAAAGCAGGACAACTTTGCACTTAGTGACTATTCGGGCCCTTAGGAAAGAGAATGCTTACTGACTTGAAATTGATGCCAGCTCTAACGTAACCCACATCGGTAGGTGCAGGTCTCCTCCACCTTAGCATAAAGCATAGATGCTAATGCAAAGAGCAGTTCCATCACATGGCACAGACAAGAATGCAACGTTAAAATGACACCTGTGCATCCAGTCTCTGAGCACTGCTAAAGGCTTTGCTGAAACAAACGCGCAGGTTGAACCAATCATGTTATTGGGTTTTTTCATGCGCAGCAAGCTCAAGATGTGAGTTCTGAGTGCATAATATCATTCCTAACATTCTTATGTCTTTTAGAGAAACAAGAGATACTCAACTCGGAAGAGATATTCACTATTATGAAAATTACAACATCCAACAGTTTGCATCTAGTATTAGAAAGCAAGGAATTAGCCTCAAGAACTAGATTTACCCAGCCTTCGTGGCTGCTTCAGCAATTTCTTAAAAAAAAAAAAAAAGAATTGCTAATTGACATTTATCCATCACAAAGAGGATTAGGCAACATACCCAGTGCAAGTCACAAAATCGACAGATGGTTTATAGTGTAAGATGCCAGAGCAGACAGGCTGATTTGCCAATAGAAAGGAAATCTGGCGGTCATTCAGTTCTGAGCAAAGCTCAGTAGGGAAGTGTGTGCTCAGCATGCCTGAGGCATGGGTTCAACACAAGATCCTCCCACCCACAGGAAGTTTGGCTAATTTAATACAATTCCTTTTGTTTTTCTTTTGTTTTTGAGACAGAGTTTCCCTATGTAGCCCTGGCTGGCCTAGAACTCATTCTGTAGACCAGGCAGGCCTCCAACTCAGAGGTTCGCCTGCCTGTGCCTCCTGAGTGCTGGGATTAAAGGCTTGAGCCACCACCACCCAGCTTAATACAAGCCTTATGAAGATTGTATATAATCTTTCATTTTTTAACGTTTTATTTCTCGACTCAGAGTGACAGAAGGACAGAATTTAGACATATGTACACAAATTTTAATATATGACTGTAGGAAGTCTATCTCTGGCTGTTTTATGTATGTATGTGGACATGCTGTTTTGAGTAGTAAGAGCTTCGTTAGCGCCTCCCTCCTGAGATAATTTCCTTCAAAGAAGAAGAGTGAGACAGGAACATATGAAATCCAATTCCAGGCTGGGTTGTGCCCTACTATAGAAGTTGCTGAAAAGAGATTGAGCTTATACTAAGGTTCCCTGGAGGCTAGCTAAAGCAGCACAAAGGGATAGAAAGTGCCCCTTTGTCATTCTTCCTTCCCTCCTTTCTTTCCTCTAGGTTCTCCCACATCCCGTATCTCATTGTCTCATTTTGATGACGGACAGCGCATTGATAGCATTGATTAGCTAGGAAACGAAGTTAAATACACGTAAAACTGTAAAATTGACTTTGGGGGCTGTGACAGCTACAGACAGAAACTCACCATGGGATAAGTAAGTGAGTGAGTCATAGGCCATAAATTAGGGAAGAAGTGAAAGCAAGAGAAGAGAGTCATCAGCCTATATTTGGAGGCTTGGGAAGAAGAGAAAAGGTACCAAGAATTGGAAAAATAATTCAGGAAATATACCAAAGTGGAAGATGCTTCTTGAGAGTCATGAAAGCTGGTCCGGTAGGGGTGATGAACATCAGCCATCTGATTAAGGGGCACAGTCAGATGGTGCAGGACAGAATAGGTTCCCAGTACTACTTGAGCAAAGCCCCAGCCTCTTGCCATTCACCAGCCCACAGATGGAAGGTGGCCAATGCACTTTCCAGACGAAACATTCTGTCCTAAAACCTACGGCTGCTCCAGTTCTTATATTCTGTCATCGATTAACACAGGGTGAGGGACAATGGTGTGGATGCAATTTATACAGACCAACTCTGTCTTCTTGTACCAAGGCTCAGTTTCCCAATGATCTGGTTCTTGTTAGGAACATTGCTAAAGCATTAGAAGACACCAACTGAGAAAACGCTAGTGCAATTTCGCAATTTCTTAGGAATTCATGTTTCCCAATTTTTAAAATGAGTCAGAGGAGCATTTCTGTGTGGGTCCCTGTGTGTGAAGGTTTGGTCCAAAACCAACTGCAAACTTTTCCCCGAGTACTTTTATTTTGCTTATTACATAATATAAGAAATGCACTGTCATAAAACCTACTGCATTTTCACCAGTGAAAGCAGCAACGCATTTTGCATTTAATCGCTGCATAAACAGATCCATTCTCCAATAAGAAATACTTCGATCACAATGATTAACTGTAGAATCTGTTTAATGACTTATAGAGTTCATACACTGGCCTGAATTCTGCATTGGTTTGTCTGCCAAACTAGTAGTTAGCTTACATTCCATTGCTAGGGAGTCGTGGAAAAATTAATCATAGTAGTCATTTGTTTGATGATCTAAGTTCATTTACTGACACACATTTAAAAAGGGGTCATATTGTTATCTTCTATTATGTAATAAAATCTTCTGTGATCATTTGAAAACTTACTTGAAAAAAATCACTTGCTTTTAGAATATAAAAAATAAACACTACAACTGGACTCCCTTGTTTGCATTTGTGTTTTAAATAAATGTTGATCAAAAGTGGAAGGAACGTGACTCTATAAAAATTTAAGTGTAAATATGATTTCCCATGCCCTTAGATGCATATAATTAAGGGGAACTGACTTAAAACAATAATCATGTAAGAATTACAATATAGGCTACTCCTGCTTATTTTTTTTTTCCTTAACTAGGTTAGAGTTGGCAGTTTTGCTCAGGCAAAAATACATTTCATAAGAAAAACTTCCTAACAATTTCTGTTTATTGTAAAGCATCGTGGCTTGTTCACTCTGAGGGTAAAGTTTAATTTAGTCACTTTCATAAACTTGCCCACTACTTGGGAAGCTCTTTTCACTATATCACATGTATATTCAAAAGCGTTTCATTCATACAATACATAAAATATTCAATGGTTAAAAGAAAACTTTATGTGCTTTCATTTTTATCAAAAATNCCTCCCCTTCCCCTCCCCCTCCCCCAACCAGGTCCCCCTCCCTCGTCAGCCCAAAGAGCAATTCTTGACCGAAAATTTTTCACGTGGTTCTATACCGTATAGCTTAAGTGCAACATTGAAATCAGGCTACTTGCTACATTCATTTATAAAACTCAAACTGAGGTAGAAACCTGGGGTTACCCAAAAGACAGAGAAGAAACAGTGCTTATGGTGTCGCATGGCATTTGAGTTGTGTTAAACTCGAGTACCAACAACACTGCTCATATTTAACATTTTCAGCCAACACTTTTCTTTATCTTCCTATACACCAGACTGCATCCTGTTACTACTGCTATGAGTCCTATTTGAAAGAAAATAAAGTCACAGACTCTAACTGCTGCTTATGGTCGAAAGCTCAGACCAATGGGCAGGATGATAGCACCATTTACTGACAGAGGGGACTAACATGCGAGATGCCAGCCCTCAGTGTGACCTGAACTTGTGTCCCAGCCCCATGCTTCCATCCTAGGTTCTCTTATACATGTCTCTGTGAAGTCCTCTGCTCAGAGGGAACACTGTGTCCTGTCTGGTGGCCCAGATGGCAGATTGGGTGACCCGGATGCAATGCCTGTAATGTAGTGTCTACTGAACCTGGCTGACACTTGAAGAACTCATGGGACCACAGAAGCTTATCTTTTGTCTCTACCTGGTTTTCTCTCACCCACAATAAATACTTTAAACTCCCAAATATATAACGTCGAGTTTAGATACTTCTGTAGTTGTTATGATGGAAAAATGACTAAAGATTTTGGCAAAAACAACTAGCTGTTCCTTGCTTATCTTATTTTCTCATGCTTAAAACAATTTTAATTAAGGTAGTTAAGATTATTAACTATGTAGCATAATCACAATGAAGACTGTAAGGACGCTTTCAGGCTAGAATGGAGAATTTTCAGGCACATGAGTGTATGTAATATGGTGGAAAGACCAGAATAGAACCAAAGCACTATATCGTTATCTCCAAAAAGATAATCTGACATCTAATTATTCTTTGGATCCATTTATTCTTTCCCAGGACATCTGAAGTCTTTGAATATTCTTAGCATCTTATCAAGTGTGGAAACTATAAGAAGCCGCACTGATCCAGAATCTATTACAGTCAAAACAGTGAAAAAGAACTCTGGGGACAGCTGAACTCATTCCTACTTCTTCAGTAGCTTCTCTCAATGAAAATACCCTTATGTGAGCATAAACCAAAGAGCCTGAAGAATAAACACAATTCAAGAGCAAAGGCAACTGTCGTCATTTGACATGCAGAATGTCTTACCTCTGTGGAATATAGAACATGTGTTGGGGAGGTGGTTTATAGAGGACTCCCTCATACACAGGCCACAGCCCACTTAAGATTCTGAAGAGAGAGCTTTTCCCACAACCATTGGGACCAGTTATCAAAAGATGCATCCCTTCTTCTACCTGAAGTCAGAAATAAAATAGTAAGTTGCAATACTTAATAATTTATTTCATGTGATAGCATTTAAAAGCGATTTAAACATTCAATCACGTGATAATATTGGACATTAAAGAAAATGTATCAGTATTAGAATGTCAAGTGTGGCTCTGACAATTCTCTAAAGCTAAAAGTATTGTAAAACGAGTTGGAAGAAAATGGATCTTCTTAGAATGAACACTGACTCTTCAACACTTCAACTGAGACATCGTTATCAGACCTACGCACATGTAGAGAAATGAGCTACACAGGAAAGAAGATGAATCATAAGGTCTAAATTAAAAATACATTACATTTTATTTATACCACTATTTAATTAAATTTATATAAATCCAAATGCAACTCATAATTGAACATACTATAAAGCACAGCTACCCAAGGAGCCTGCTGGGTTCTTAATTTTTTACTTCAGGGTTGAAATGCTACAAAAGCACACAATCAAAGAGAAAAGATTATTCTTATTCTGCTTCATTCACAGATGTAATAAATATACTTATGAAACAAAACCAGATGAAAGCAAGGGCACTGCACCATAAAGTATGGTTGAGGTTGGATTTAAACACATATAGGCAAATCTCCATATTCCGGACTCTAGTTCTGAAGAGTCATCTATCTAAGGACTGAAATAATTGAAGGTTGTGCCTGTATTGAATATGTACAGAACCTTTTTCTGTATAAAATTTTACATAAAGGAGTTGAATGTTATCAGGTTTGGGTGTCATGGAGCCCATCACTCACTTAGGAAGACTGTATACACATAAAATATTCACTCTCTTTATATAAATTATGATCATATATGTATATTATCCATTGAAGCTCCCCTTTATCATTTGTCTTAGTTACCAATTACATTTAAACAGATAGACTTCTGGTCTCCGTACTGTGCTCAGTAGGGTGGGGAGTCTGCCTTCCTATCCCACGTGCAGGGCATCATGAAGAGCAAGGGACAGGAACACTGCTTACAGATTTGATCTGTTTTATAATCAGTGGTGCGAAAACTGAAGATAAGATGAAAGGCCAAGAGGCAGAGCTCTAGGGGATGTCTATGTGTTTATATTTCCACAGAAATATCTTACTTTCTGTCATATAAAAGACACAAATGCCAAAATCAAAGACAAAGGTTGATGTAGGTGGGTCTTCTGCCCACCGCTCCATCTACAAAAGGTGAATTGGTGGCATTCCAGAAGGTCCTGAGGAGAACCTGCAAAGAATGAATTCAGACTTGCTTCTTCTTCTCTAGATTCCTTGATGATTAATTTGACAGATGCATGAGTACTCTCCAAAAGATTTTTGGAGTAGTACATTCTTAAAATGTTCTAAAAGGGTCAGTTTCTATTAGGAATTCCTAGGAATTTAACATGTTTTCTTTTTAAAGTTGGAAAACTTTTTATATTTATGTATTTCATAGCATAAGTTCTCAGTAAATACTGACTAAATACACTTTGAATTTCTTTGATAAGTCAAAATTTTAATTTTGAAGTCCAACAAAAAGGATGAAAATCATTTTCCTTAAAGAGTATGTATTTCCCAGCTGGGTGGTGCTGGTGCACGCCTTTTATTCCATTACTCAGGAGGCAGAAACAGGTAGAGCTCTGTGAGTTTGAGGTGAGCCTGGTCTGCAGAGCAAGCTCCAGGACAAGCTCCAAAGGCTACAGAGAAACCCTGTCTTGACAAACATATATATATTTCAATTAATATTGAAAAAACACAACATCTCCTATTCTAGGGAGATTAGAATTGAAATACAGCTTCCAGGGGCAAATATAATAGCAAACAGTATGTTGTAACAATGTACATCTTCATAGTATTTTTAAAGTCCGTAAGAGTCTTCTACTGGATCACTGTTTATTTTCTACAAGAGACTGAGCTCTGGGTTTTAATTCAGGGTATGAGGGCTCTATGGGGTATAGTTAGAAGACAGTACATTCAGGCCTTGTCACCTGTTTATTTAAAAATTAGAGCAACAAGAACTGGTAATATATTACCTACACCGACAAAGCAACAAGAGAAACCCAGAGCCATATAAAAATCACAGTCTGTTTCTGTTCCTTTGTTTTCCAGGGTGGGGACTGAACTCAAGGTCTTTGCATGCCAGGCAAGCACCCTAACCACTTAGAGCTTTATCCCCATCGAAATTGCCTAAGTATTAATATCCTCTCCTAATAATAAAACCATTCTGCAGGTTTATACTGAAACGATAAATCCTGACCAAGTTATTTCTCTCGATTTTATTAACACAATTTCCTTTCTGTTTAATGTATTGCGTCCTCTCTTTTCAACATTCAGTAATCTTCATCAATTGCAAATATATCTCTAATAATTAAGCCTAGACTAATATCTATTCCAAAATCATTAGTATTATGACGTTCATAATTGAGTTATGAAGTCTAATCATGCCTTTATTTAAACATAGCTCAGCTGTCTTCATTTTGGTTGGTATGGTTTGAATCTGAAATGTCACCCCTAGAATCATGTGTTGATCTCTAAGTCTCCAACTTGTGTTACATTTTGGAAGGTGGTGGAGAGCCTCAGACATGAGTCCTACCTAGAAGAAGAATGTCAGTGGAAATGTGTACTCAGATTGTTCCTTGGCCTGACCCTTTGTGCATTCTCTTTCTCTACTTGCTTTCTAGCGTGCACTAAGTACTTTACTTTGGTACTCGTTCCTGGAAGATGTTCAGCTATTTCTCAGGCCCAAAGCTGTGAGACAGCTCAACCCTGAAACCAAGAGCCAACTAAATACTTCCTCTTTCTAAGTTGTCAGTGAACTGACATAATGACTGAAGTACCTAATACAACATGTTTGCCATTTTACACTTAGTTCTAAATGTATGTTTAAATTTCACAAAGCCTTAAAATCAGAGCCGTGAACTTACAAAATGTTCTTGTACTTCTTAGTTTTGTAATTAATATATAGAATATTAAATCAATTATTTTCAACAGAATTAAAACCTGAAGCTGTATCCATGAATCTTCTGATTATTTAAAGTAGAAATTAAAGTTAGAAAACATGTATTAGATAAACTGAATTTGCAATGACCTTTGGGGAAAGGCAATATTTTTAGAAAGTATATAAGACTGTAGTCTTACAGATTTCTTAATATCTTTTATAAAAAAATTAAAATTCATTTCCAGATATTAATTTCTGGTATTTCTTCTTGTTCCCACAAAACTACCTTGAAGGGTCTCACTGATCTGTAATTTGATTTTCAACCTAGCACTAAAGCAGCTAAAATCAGAGTTCTCTTTTTCTCTCTGCTTTCTGAGGAAGTTACTGCTGCTGCAACTGAGCCACTGTGCATACCTTTTTGACTTCCCCTTTTCCACACGCTCCTCTCCAAGTATTTAACATAAGGTACATGAATTCTGAGTGGTTTTCTATTAGTGTGAGGCCAACAACCAGAAGATTCTTGACTATCATCTTACTTTGAAGTTTAGCCTTGAAGCCACCACTTCTCCTGCTGGTGTAATTATGGGCACATTTTCACAAATGATTCCGTGATCCACATCAATAACTGTTCCTGTAATTAAGGAATAGTTTATGTTACAAAGGCCATCACAAGTTACTGCTAATTAATTGGAATAATACAACAGAATGGATAAACTCGATTATAAAGATAATTCATATCTATAATCATAGGAAAAAAATAAAAATACATGAAGTCAATTTAACATCTATATTTAAATCCACTTAGAAAATGTTTCTGAGAAAACAATCTTATAATCAAAAGCAGTATTATTATCCTCACAGACTTAAACTCTATCTGATGTAACCTAACCATACAATTAGAGTTATTCAGTTCCCCTATTTCCTACAAAAAAAAAAAAAAAAAACCCACACTGTTCCAAGAAAAGAATTAGGAAGTGAAATATTTTAACACGTGACAAACATTTAGAAATAGAATAATGAAAAACAATAAGGAAGTAGCATTAGTTTTATTTATTAGCTCAGACTTTAAGAGCAAACGATTCTTTCAGCCATGTGTGCTGTCTGCAAACGCAACGTGAAGACATTTCCCAGAATATCACTGCCACGATTCCTTCCTTCCCTGCTTGTCAGCACAATATTACAGACCTCTGTTTAAATAATGCTTGCTGTTCAAAGTCTAGTTTCTTTAACTCTGAAAAGCTGTTTTCTAGAAAAGAGCCCTTTAGTTCTTTTCATAAGATGACACTGAATCCCACATCATGAAAACCCCTGAAGTTAGTTACCTTTAATTGCTAGGGTGTCACTGAGGGGTAGCTCCACGTTCCCTCCACTCTTGCTATGCTGGTCAGTCTCCTGAGTGACATTTCTCTTATAAATGCCTCTTTTCACTTCATCAAAGACCCAGAACATATTGTAGACTCTAGCAGTATAACCTGCTAGTTCAGTGATCTAAAATCAATATGTAAAGAATGAGTTAATAATAGAGCCATAAGAGATACTCTAAAATATTATGTAGTATATAAACCTCTTAATTTGTTGCTAAAGAGTCTACTTTATTGTATATGGCAGAAAAAAATACATCTGATTGCTGAAGCAAGCCATGGTAAGAAGCTTATTAGGGACAATAAAGAAGACATCGGTATAGGTTTCGTTTGAGTTGTAAAACAAAAATATTGATTTACTTCAGTGCTCAAAAATGAACTGAGCAGCTTCTGTAATATTAATGAGTCATGCATGTCTTTTAGTCACATTTCTGATTTGTCCCGCTTAAATGAAAGGATGATCCTTTATTTTTCCTTCCTTCCGTTTGTTTGTTTGTTTGTTTGGGTTTTCTGTTTCTTTGTTTTGTTTTTGAGTCAGAGACTCACTGTGTAGCGGCTCTGGCTGGCCTCATAAAGAGATCTGCCTGCCCTGCCTCCTAAGCACTGGGATTAAAAACATGTATTACAATGACCATCCCTTTTCTTTTTTTATTTGAACTAGATCATCACTGTGCATATGTAGCTTAGTGATGGATGGAACACTCGTCAACTCGTCAAGCATATATGAAGCCTCGGGGTTCACCCCTCCATAAATACACACACATATACAAAAAAAATCAAAACAGAGCAATGAAAAAAATATGACATTAACTCTAATTTTATTTATTAGTTAGATCTTAAAAGCAAACAATCCTTCCAGCCACGTTTGCTGTCTCCAAATATAACCCGAAGCAGCTTTCCTAACTTTAAGCAGCATCAAGAAGCAGGTTTGTTTATACTCGTGTGGATAGGAATTTATTAAATAGGAGAAAAGTACTTTGGGTCTTATTTATAAACAAACGTTTCTAAGCCAAATGTTGCCAAAGTTCCTGTTTCAGCAGAGGAATATCTGTAATAGAGAGGACACATTGTGAAAGAGAGCCCAGTGAGAGGCTTCAGGACCTTTGCAGCACAAACCCCAGAATCCAGCTTCTGGACTGAAGACAAGTATGGCTTCAGTGCTCAAGGTTAGCTATAAGCAGGTGGATTTTTTTTTCTAGATAAGCTGAAATGAATTTCTGCTTTAGTCCACAAGGCTCCATAGAGAGTCACCTTGCTCTGGTTGCACCAGCTGTCCTTCTAGGCTAAACTTCTGCTGGTTTTCTATTCTGCCAGAACAGCTTGCTATCAGGGGACTGTGAAAGGTGACTTGTCTTAACCGTATCATTTGGCTCAGCAAAAGAATTGGAAAACTGACACCAATAAGCATGCATGTCACAAAAGATGTCTCGTAAGCGTCATCTGTATGTAGATTAACACACAGGTGCTGGCAGATGGCTGAGAGCTTTGTGTGTAGAACTTAAACCATAATGAAGAGGTGTTAGTGTCATAGTAGAAGGCCTGTAATTTGACCATTTACTGATGTACGTTAATGTTACAGCTATCTAAAGGAAGACTTTGAAAATGGTATCTGGAAGGAAGTCTTGAGCTCTTAAATAGAGGCAAAAAAGAGAGACTGTAGGGATAAGCCCAGCCCATTAGGGGGCATGTTCGCCTCTGGCTAATGTTTACATATAAATCTGGCAAGCGTGAGCCTGCCATCCCATCTGTTTTCTTGTTCTCCGCGGGAACCTGTGGTTCTGTAAGTCTATTTCCCCATTAAAGCTGTATATATTTTTACAATCTGTCTACATTCATTTATGCCGCTACAAGAGACAGTTTAGCAAAATACATATTTAAAAGAAACATGTGTGTTCTAGTGAGGACTTCTACTGCTGTGATTAAAAAAAAAAAACATGACCAAAAGCTACCTGGAGAGGAGAGGGTTTGTTTCATCCTACAACTGCTAGGCCACGCTCTGTCACTGAGGGAAGTCAGGGCAGAAACTGAAGTCAGGACACTGCAGGCAGGAACTGAAGGAGAGGCCATGAGGAGCACTGTTTACAGGCTTGCTCCCATGGTATGTTCAGCCTCTTTAGTATACAACTCAGGACCACCTGCTCAGAAGGGGCAGCTGGCACTACCCACCCACAGTACCCACCCACAGTGACCTAGGCCTTCCCACAACCGTACAATACCCCCACAAGCCAATCTCATTAGAGACATTGTTTCAATTAAGTATCTCTCTTTCCGGATATGTCCGGCTCTGTGTCAGGTTGACATAAACCAAGCAGCCAATTGGGCAAATAAAAATATTGGCATAGGAAAAATCTAAAATTACAGAAGAATTAAAAAGGATCAGGAAGCAATGGGTAAGTAGACTGGGACAGACACTGCAATGGGAAGGGAATGTCTATGAAACTAAGAGTATGCCAGAAGACAGGAGCTTTGGGTCACCAGGACGTTTGTTGAGGAATGTAGAATCCTGACTAAGAAGAAGCCTTTGCTCCTTGCAGCTCGTCGAGAAGGCATGGTGACTTCTTGTCTGCTCACAGCAGCACAATGTGCCTTTAAGAAGTGAACAATCTTAGATTCATGGCATATGAAGTCGAGATAATGACAAGTGAGGTAATTTTTATCACTGGAGATAATCTAGGATGGGTAAATGATGATCCTTTAGTGACTTAGCATGTTTCAATGTGAGATGGGCAATTTCTTTGTCTTATTTATTTATTTGCTGCTCCCCCCCACCCCCCTAGAGACAAGGTTTCACTGTGTAGCCCTGGCTGTCCTGGAACTCACTCATTACATCAGGCTGGTCTCTATCTCCTTAGAGATCCGCCTTCTTCTGCCTCCCAAGTACTGGGATTAAAGGCATGCACCACCACTGTCTGGCATTGTCTAATTTTAATAGTAAATATGTTGCTTAATATTAAAGTGGGTGACATGAAAAAAAACTATCCTTTAAACTAGGTACCAAGATTATTAAAATTACTGTTTGAAATTTTAGAAACTGAGTAGTTGAGATAAGTGGTACTGAACTATAGGTTTTATGGTGGAAAAAAAAAATCCAGATCAGTAAGTCAGTTCTGTAAAGCACTCAGAAACTTTGAAGCTGTATCATACACTGTCCTTTAATTAAATTAGGAGATAAATTTGCAATGGTACTTTAACATTCATATTGCTTTATGATTTATAAAATTAATTAATAGAATTTTGGAAATATCTGAACTGAATAGTCTTGCTAATCTTAACCCAGTGGTAGCCACAGGTCTTATTGTTGTTGTTCTTGTTTTGCCATCCTTTAAAAAAAACACTTACAAGCCTTTTACCTAAGTATTGGTGAAGGCTGGGAGTGAAAGATGAGCAATGAGAATCGCTGTGGTCAGAGAGCTCAGGGTCAGCTGCCAGGGAGAGAGCCAAGGTAAAGTGACAGAGACAGAGAAGCCCACCCACGTGCTTCAAAGACCACTAGAAGTGGTATCGCGAGGCTTTATATATTCCTGATGAGACTTCATCAATGAAGGATGAGCAACGTTTGCAAGATGTAAACCTGGTATTATGAACTAACACTAGCGAGCACTGAAATGCAATGAGCCCACATTATGAACTTTTGACGCCCTGAAAAATCCTTACTGTCATCACCCCAACTTAGAGATACAGGAACAGGGATCCGTGCAGGCAAGAATCTTGAGGAGATCACGCGACTTGTAAATGATGAACTCTGAACAGAAATCAGGCATGGGCTCTAGAGGCCACACAAGAGCGATTCCTTTTTGTTCTCTTCATTGAAAATCAAGTAAAATCATGCTTGTAAACAGAAGTAAATGGCCACCTCACCGTGGAGTTGCCACCCTTGACCTCAATTATACGCTTGGCAATTTAGAAAGAGAATGAGAAAAAAAAAATACCTGTTTCGAAAATGCTACACATACTTCGTCATTTACACTCCGCTTTCAGAGGCTTTCATATTTTACGCAAATTTGCAAGACATTCAAATACCTCTTTGTATGAAGACATAATTCTTTCAATAGCATCAGCTCCAGAGGCCAATAAATTTCGGGCAGTGGTGAAGGCTTCTGTCCGATCGCTAACCATTGCCTGCTTTGGGCCGTCCTCCAGATCTAAGAGAAAAAAAAAATCACAGAAATGCTAAGTTTTTTTTTTTCCCAAGTAATTGTTTTACTTTATATCAATTAAATTATGGCTAAAATAATAATATTTTATCACTACCAGCAATTTCCTAGAAATACATTTAAATATTAAGTATAATAAACACTATGTATTAGGGTTTATTAGAAGTTCCCTTCTGCCTGATTTAATTAGAACAAGAAGTTAGTACAACTAAATCTATAGGCATTAGGTTATTTTTATTTAGCTTCCTTTAGACATTTCCTGTATCCAATTTTCTCCTACTATTACAACTGCAATAAACTCTCCCGACATTCTCAATGGAAGAACTAACTTGAGGACGCTGGGCCAAGGACTCAGGGAAGTGCTGTCTGTACAAGCCCAGGGACCTGAGTTTGAATTGCCTGTACCCACACTTTAAAAAGAAAGCTGAACATGGTAGTCACTTTAGCCCTGGAGGAGCAGGAGGGTCTCCGGAGCCAGCATAAATCAATGGGCTCTAAATTAAAAAAAAATAAAGAAAGAAGAAAGGGAATGAGGGGTTGCTCTTGAGATAGTTTAGTGGGTAAAGTCATTTGCTGCCAAGCCTTCTACCTGAGTTTCATCCCCAGAACCTACATGGTAGGAGATAACCAACTTTCAAAAGTTGTCTTCTGACCTCCACATGCATGATGTGGTACGTATGTACTTGCATTCATACATTAACACAGGCACACACAGAGTAATAAATGTATACGTGTATGATATTTTTAAATAATAAAAATTTCACTTTAAAAATTAAAGTAAGCATACCTAAAAATATAGGTGAAGAGTTATCTCAAGAGATACTTGACATGGTCTTCACACACATGCACCCATATGCACACATGCATCCACATGCATGCATATACCCACATGCACACATGCATCCACATGCATGCATGCACAGGCCCATGCAAACGTGTACACCAGCATACTAAGCAGAATACAAAAAAGAAATTATGGGATAGTTCCTATAACAGGAATCTGAACTAATCTGGCCCTTATAATTTTGATGTTTTCCTCCTTTCTCAAGCATTTTTCATCCTATAGTTCAGCTGAATCACTAGCATGCCCTTCTCTGTTAGTCCTTTGGAATTTACACACTTGATTTCTCTTTTCACTGTGAGTCCTAACTGTGTCTTTACATTGTGATCCTCCATCCTCAACCACCTGAGTTCTAGGATTATAGTTGTGCAGCAATGCTTGGCTCTAGATATCTGGAAAATATATTTAAATACATAGTTATATATTTATGATTATATATATAAAATCAATAGAAAAATTCTCAACCAGCTACTGAAATAGCGAATTCATCCGTGAGCTAAAAACTAGGAAAGGGTTAGGATTTCAACCATCTGGTTGAGCATCTCAACTAATCACTGGCTTTTTATGAATGTGGGTTAAAAGGGGTTTGGCCTTTCACTGGCAACCTCTGTTGAACAAGGACAACAACAAAAACCCATTTGCACAGATGGACAGGGGTCGGTGTGGAATCATAGCTCCGGTGCTGCTTTGGCAGATTAATGCCTTCTGGGGTTTCTTTATGCTTTTAGCAACAAAGTAAATATTTTCTCACAGTGCATAACTGTTAAACTACCATGTTTTTTGGTAGGTACCATGGAAACAGGGCAAGTAGTGATAAGCCTACATGAACAGTCACCTGCCTGGCCTCTCTAACAAGGTCTGATTCCTTAATGTCGGAGATATAAATCCATGACCTAAATGCTCACTGATTTTATTTCTCAGGTCAGCACAGCTGACATTTTAGTGAAGAACAATATCCCCACTGACAAGTTTTCCTCTGTCATCTGTCTTTTCCTTAATACAAAGACAGGAAGACACAGCCTTATAATGACACATAGCTTTGAAATAATTAATAAAGTAACAAAATCACTGAAGACTAGAAAGTTTCCATTTCAGTGATTGGCCCACTATTACTGTGGACTTACAAAGCAAGTTTCTGCATGGTGGCTGTGGTGCAGGAGTAGAGGTAGTGTACCAGGAGATACATAGTATTTCCAATCCCCAGGGTTCCAGCTAGCTACACATCTGAATTTAGACAAACCAGGATCTCTAAAATAGAGGCTCTAAGGCCCTCTTCTGAAGTGGAAAACAGTATGCTCTAAAGGTAATTTTTTTCAATATGAATGCCCTGTCCTTACTATGATTGCTCACTTGACATTGTACAAGTATATCTATTCCGTCAAGTAGATCTACAACAGCCAAGTAGGTCTACAACAAAGTCGCTGCTTACCTCCCCCCCCCAACAAAAACTCTACAGATTCTTTCTCCTAAACAGTCTTACTTCTGACTTTCAGATCCTTGCTTCTTTAAACAACAATGATACCAGCAAACGCCCATGAATTATTTTCTATAAGCAGATACCATACTAAGTTTTACAATTTGGCTAACTTTACCTATTTTTGAATATGAGGAATTTGAAATACAGAAAAGTGGAATGATTTTTCCAGGGTGTAAGTAGAATAGCTTGCCTTTAAGCTCAAGCCCTCTAACTCTAGAGCTCACAGGTTTGGAGTGTAATAAATGCTGACGAGAATGGGTACCTTGCTTTTTAGCCTTACCAAGAACAATGCACACTGGAACATTACAATTTCATGGCAACTCTGAATGATATGTATAATTACCCACATGATTAAGAAATCTAAAGCCTATAAATTCAGATAGTCTTCCCAAAGCTTAGTTAACTATTACATCAGGTGAAGGGTTTCCCCACTTCCCCTTTTTCTATCCTCACCTCATCCTCATTTTTCATATTAATCATTCTCTTATCCTTTTGTTTCATATTTTTTAAATTTTATTTTAATTTTTAATTATGTATATGTGTGGAGGAAGGTGGGTATGTGCACATGAGGATAGATACTGCCCAGGCAGGCCAGAAAAGGATGCCAAGTACCTTGGAACTAGGATTACAAGCACCTGTGAGCTACTCAATAGGGATGCTGGGAACTAAACTCTAGTTCCCTGTAAGAGCAGCAAGTGCTCTTAACCACTGAGCCATATCTCATGCCATTGTTTCACTTACTTCTTCACCTTCTTATGCCATAAAACATATAGTATCATGCAATTATTTTATCTGTAACATGAGAGACAACTAAGTGATTGGGCTCAATACATACATACATACATACATACATAAACACACACACACTACATATGGCCTTTCTTTTCTACATAGCCCTAGTTGTCCTGGAACTTGACTTGTAGACCCAGGATGTCCTGCAACGCACAGAAATAGACTTGCTTCTGACTCCACGCTGCTGGGATTAAAGGTTTGCACCACCATACCCCTCTTTAAATTAAGATTTAAGACTATATTAGAAAATATGACTTTGGGTTTTTTTTTTTTTTGTCTTGAAATTTGCAGGCAAATGGATGGAGCTAGAAAACATCATTTTGAGTGAGGTAACACAGACTCAGAAAGACAATTATCATACTCACTCATAAGTGGTTTTTAAACATAAAGCAGAGAAAACCAGCCTACAAATCAATCACTGAGAACCTAGACAACAATGAGGACCCTAAGAGAGACATACATGGATCTAAACTACATAGGAAGTAGATAAAGACAAGATCTGAGTAAATTGGGAGCATGGGGACCTTGGGGGAGGCTTGAAGGGGAAAGGGGAGAGGCAGGGAGGTGAGCAGAGAAAAATGTAGAGCTCATTAAAAAATATGACATATAATTTCTAGATCTGAAACCTGAAGGTAATATCAGTATCTGAAAAAAAAATATTTTCACTGAGTGAAATGATATTTTCACTTGTTAAGTCACCCGAGGTCAAATATATTTAGTAGAGTGGGCACACAGTACACATGCAGCAGCCTTCAGTTCTGCAGACTTTGAAACAATCATTGCTCTTCTCTGAGGACCTTACATTGTCCACCTCTGCAGGATGGTCTTTGGAAGAAGCTTTATGTGATACTTTGTTTTACTTATGATTCCAACATAAAATGTCCCTTTCAGCTGGTACTGCCTGCCAGATTTGTAGTATTTATTTTTAAACATCTCATTACCCCTTGGTAAGTAAGCTAGTTAGTTTTGTGGCATACATGTTTACTTCTTGCTAGTCTCAGTGGGGTTAATTTGTCACCATTAATAGATGCATTTTTTTTCTAGTCTATGATGATTACACTAGGGTTTTCTAATAAGACCAAACACTGCTAACGTACAATGTAGTATAATCTTCTTGTTGGGACTATCTCTAATGTACGTTAAACATGAAGCTTTTTGGTGAATGTTATTAGCTTAAGAGATGACTTTTCAGTTGACGTTTGGAGCAATTTCTTAGCAAAGCCATTCTGAAGAGCACATTTGCAGTTCCTTTCTTCCCACTGTTAACACTCCTTGGGAAAAGTAGTTATTCGGGTTATGTTTTGAATACGATTACTAAGAATATCTTTTAAAATAGAAATCTAAAATCATTTCTTGGTAAAGTTGAACATATTGGAGTGATAAAAATCAATGTTCACAGCTCCTATTTGAAAGTTTACTTGTGGAACACATTCATTATGTATTTAGTGCTGACCACAAAGAGGGACTGACGAGTCAGAGTTCTCTGACATGAATATATTTTACTTAATAATGAGTCAAATCTGACTATTTTAAATAAAAATTTACAATACTTTGTAAATAATTTACAATACTTCAAGTGAGGCAAATGTTATGAAAACAGTCATTACCCTGAATTCTTTAGGGAATAAAAAGTACGTGTTGATAATGGACAGATTTTCTCTGTTTTTGCTTTGGACTCCCGTTCCTGCTCTGTGCTTGACGGAATCCTTGAATGTGGATCTATGAAATCTGAACCCTAACTATAACCCCTTCATTTCTGACAGGAAAGATCCAAGCTTTCTTATAGGAAGAACAGTGTAGCATTTTTTTTCTTGCCATTATCTTTTTTAGTTATACCAAAAGAAGAAAAGTTGGTTTAAAAAAAAAACTGTTGCAACAAAGAGAATAGAATTAAATACCTGCAGCTTGATATGCACTGCCCCCACCCCTCACCAATTCATGTCATGGGAAAGTATCTGTATTACTGCAAATAGAGAACCCGTTCCACGACACACTCACATGCACCCTGAAACAGCATTCCTGGTTATATAATGTAGCCAATCAACTTTCAAATCACAAATCAGGGCAAATGCAGTTATAGGAAATTCTTATGCTTAAACTATAGGATGTTAGCAACAAAACATGAGGTGTGCTTATGTTATACTCTTTCTGGAGGTATTAGCTCACTTTGTGGTTAAATATAAACTGAAAAGTCGCTGGGTAATGTAGTTAAAATGATTACAGATAGACTTCCAGGGAAGCTATGCCAGACCTATGACCTCCTTGGCACGGTCCTTTGAGCCATCTGTTGCTTCTTCCATACTGATGGTCTCATTATTGAACACTGAAAACTGCCACTGTTTCTTAGTACAAGTAACTACAGATAATGGCTGTCTACCCAGTAACACAGGGAGCCTGCAATGGCATCTGACCGAGAAATAGTGTTAAGCGTATATTTTAAATGAAGTACGAATGTCATTACCACCGTCTGCAAAGCCTGTCGCGGTGATAATCGGGATAGCCACCATGATTAGTCCGCAGCTGCTCCACACGTACTTCATCAAGAACTGTTCTATCATGATGTACCATAAACGCTTGGATAAAATGAGGTTCATCTGATAAGCTAAAGCCTTGTAACTTTTCTGCAGTTGCTTCATTTCTACCTATAAAGGGGAAAAGAGAAGAATTAGTGTAGCATGGAAATAAATTCTGTAATTACTTTAAGATTCTCTTTAATGATGTAGGTTTATTGTTTGGCTTTACTTAGCATAGCCTTTGTTGCTACATTTCTATAACCTATAAATGTAACTTGATATCAGAACTAGTCATAATATAGTTTAGCTTGCACTTGTATTATTTTAAAATCACGCTATCCAGTAAATATAATAGTGTTTAAAATACACAGGAGTGACATGGAGTATAGCCCAGTGTTAGAACATGTTCTTATTGCTGACACTCATGAGGCCGTGGGTACAATTCTCATCAGTTAAGCAGGGTGGGGAAGACAGATAGACAAACAGAAACAGAGAGGCATACACAGAGGGAGAGAAAGAGAAAGAAAGAGAGAAAATGGGGGAGACAGACAGACAGACACAAAGAGGTGCACACACACACAGAGGCAGACAGACACAGAGAGGCGCACACACACAGTAAGAAAGAAAGAGAGAGTGGCAGGCAGGCAGAGAGAGGTGAACAGAGACAGAGAGATTCATAGTTTAATTTTAAATCTTAAGATGTTAAAATTAAATACTATTCTATAAAGGTATGGGTAAGAATGTTAAACACATATCGTTCTTGAGAACTCTAGAAAATATCTAAAACCAAACAAAACGTGCATAGACTACTTTTTGATTGACTCAGTTTCCCAGACTTTGTCTTTTAAGCGAGGAATCCACTAATTTACATTGAGTTCAATGATCTGAATGTAACAAATCAGCACAGTTAACACAACACACAAGGTCAATTTCAAGTGGGAATAGAGGCCCTGAATTAGTTTTAAACTTTTCTTTGGGTTGGTTCCGCCATTGAAAAAGAAACAATGCTAATTCTTGATGCTTTAAAAGATAGACCACTCTGCCTGGTGAGTAAAACATAACTTTAAGCACTTCATTATATATTGCCAAACCATCGATCTTAAGACTTCATGTGTTCCACCTCCCAATTTACATCACATTCAACATCCTGAAGTAACTATAATATGCAACAATTTTATGTACTTGGGCTAATTATTTTCCTATTGAAGATTCATAACATTTAAACATATCACCCTAGTTCTACGTACTCCTGTCCCCTCTAATCTTAGTGTTCACTTCTCTACTAGACAAAATTTAATTATATCTGTCAAAAGCACATGCTCGACATGAACTAAAAGTGAGGGACATGCGATTTCATTAGACACCCGTCTGCATTTCTTAAGTTTCAGGGCTCTTTCTCATTCATCAGTCTTGCAAAACTGCCCAAACTGTTCTCTCTTTGAAAGCCCTCTCCCCATCTTGAACACAAAAGAACAACAAAGAACAGAACCCTCGCACCTCCACCTCAATCCAAAGTGGTTTACTCTTTGTTCCCAAATATGCATTTTCTTCATATGTACAGAGCCACTTACCAACTTAGTACTGAATTATAAGGAAATGCCTTTGAGGTCAGTTCGGCTGTATTTGAGTAACTGAGGCTATGCAGACACTTTTAAAGAGGACTGAAATTTTAATCTCCAGAAACTTCATAAAAGTTTGGACTCTTTAATCTTCAACAGTAGGTGACTTAAAAAGCTACTGCAATATATTCTATTTTAGAACAAGTTTAGCTAACAGAGTGCTCTGTAATGTTCAGAAAGTGGGCCTGTCAATAGGATAACAGATGGTATCTAGCCCTGCCGTGGCTGCTTGGCCAGTCTCACGTTTCTCCCATTGCTTTAATGTCTGTCTTACCTTATGTCCTCTGTAGAAGGCAATTTCTTCCACGTTAGCTATGATTCTGGAGTGAACGTACCGCAGATAGCCTTTCCTATGAGCTTCCTCAGCCACTAGTGTGCCAAATTTAGGAGAGCAAGCCTTCAGCACTTTAGCCGTGGCGTAGACCACAAGTCCGGCTAACAGCGTGGGCCCTATTGGGCTCGCTCCTCTGGACGTAGCAGTCCGGATGAGAGTATAGGAAGTTATGATTACATCTAAAATAGGCTTGGTAAGGTTGGAATACAAGTGAGCGACAGATTGTGAGAACATCATAATGTCTTCAGTAAGGGACTGGTCAGGGTTGGCCAGCCTCCCGTCCATATTTATCACCTTATAGTAAGTCTGATTTGCAAAATAGGTTTCGTAGGCATGGTCTACTAAGCGAGTTCTGAAGGCCAAAGCCAGTTTGCACTCCAGGTACCTGATAGCGCTGTTGACAAAGGTGGCAGGAATGGCAATCATAAGCCACTTGATCAACTTGATGACGAAACTCCGAGGCTTCTTTTCCACGATGCTTTTCACGATTTTTCCATCCAGACCGGCCACATAGATAGAAAGAAATGTTCTTGAGATTAGAGCCACCGAATGGAGGCAGAGCCACCCCGTTTCAGTGGTCACAAGTTTCGGAAAGAGGATTTTCCGAAGTTCTAGTAGCTGTTTGAAAAAATCTGCATTCAGTCCCGGCGCAGGCTTTTTACAGCCGATCTCTGTGCAATGCAGTATTTCTCTGTTCTCTGCAGGCGGATAAGCTGCTGCTTCTTCCTTCCTGTGGCCAGACTGCTTTAAACGCTTGCCAATGATGGGATAGAGGGTTTTCAGAGCATATGCCGCAGCCACCAGGCAGGCAGCCCTCTTAGCAGCGCCGGATCTGGTCCATTTCACCCGATAGGCTGCTGCGTTTAGCATATGTATCATTTTCCCAGCTACACAAATGAGTTTCTATAAAAAGAATTCGTTTTAAAGGCTCATGCTCCGCGGAAAGCCCAGCAAACGTCTCAGAAAACCCCACCGCCTCCCATGCTCTGCAGCCTCTCTCCTTTACTCTTATTTTGTTCTTCAGTGACGGATGCAGCAAAGCTCAAACTCCACCGCATCTACTGGGGGCGAGTCCCTCACCAGCCAGAGCTGGCCAGGCTCCTCCCCCGGGCTCCTCATTGGCTGCGATGGCGGTGAGACCCTGGAATCCTCGCCTCTTCTCTTTGAACCTTAAAAATGAAGAGAGAGCCCAAACGAATTCTATCCTTTAAACAGGGGTTCAGAGAGTTAAATGTCTATTTCTGGAGAGGTCGAACCAGGTCGGCTGCTGGAGAAGAAACCTTGCCTTTGAGCTACTGAGCATGCTCAGCGTCACTTAGAAACCCTCAGAAGTTTCAGAATATACTTCCCGTCCCTAAGATTTCCTTCCACAAGAGGAGGGGCAGGCGGATAGGAAGATTTGCTGGAGCTTTAATGAACCGAGAGAGAAAGAACCCAGAGAGAGGAGGGTGGTGTCACAAGAAGGTTAACGGAACGGGCCCAGGGAAGGGAGTCAGACAAGACAGTGATAAGCGCTAGAGCCCAAAACAAAGTAGCAAAGGCAGATATTCTTGAGAATGTTTTGTTCTGAAGCTGTGTCTCTGTCCGCCCCGCCCCCACCTCGCCGCGTTCCCTTGTTTCCGTTTTTCTCAGATATTTCCAGAACCTATTAGAGTGTGACTGAGGGTGTCCCTCTTAAATAAACTGGAGGCAAGCTGTGCATTGCAGAAAAGTTACACTCAGAACCCCTTCCCCCCACTCTCCCCTGCATTAACTTGTCTTGATAATAAAAATCTTCTCGCTCCGTAATTGTCATGTTTAGCAATGTTGACTCGACACATATGTTTACAAACCGACTTAAAAATTTCCTTGTGTTTTTATTTGGAGGTAAGGTGGCCCTAAGAGGGAGGAGGCATAATATGAACAAAGGAGTCAAGACCATGATGGGGACACCCACAGAAACAGCCGACCTGAGTTAGTGCGAGCTCATTGACTTCCGACTGGCAGCAGGTGAACCCGCATAGGATCACACTAGGTCCTCTGAATGTGGGTGACAGTTGTGTGGGTTAGGCAGTCTGTGGTGCCTCTAGCAGTGGGGCCAGGATCTTGAACTGGCTTTTTGGAGCCCATTCTCTTTTGAGGGATACTAGGGGTGAAGTACCTTGGTCCTGCCTCAAAGAGATGTGCCAGACTTTGTTGACTGTCTATGGGATGTCTTACTTTCTCTGAGGAGTGGATAGGGGTGGATAGGGAGAAGGTGGGGAGAGCGGGCAGAGGGGAGAGAGGCAGTGAGAATTGGGATTGGTATGTAAAATGAGAAAAGATTATTTTAAAAATAAAAGAATTTAATCATCTGGGAATTGAACTGGAATTAGATGATGGAAAAGGCAGATGCATTTCTACAAATTTTTTTCCAAGTTTTTCTTTAGATTTAGAGGCAAACTACTCACTTCTTCCTATGAATTTTTTTTGCTATTTGCTAAAAATCAAGTCTATTTAGAAATTATTCACAATCCTAGTGAAATAGTCAATAGTCAAGCAAAACTTTTTATATTTAAAAATGTGAAGGTTGTTTTTAATGGCAAAGAAAATGTGGTTTTGCAAGACTGATTATTTTTCTACTCTTTTCTTCTGTCTTTCCAACAAATGACATGAACTTCTACTTATCTTGAAGTGTGTGTTTAAGTCAGAACACAACATGGCAAGTTAGAACTGTCAATTTAAACCTTCTACATGTTGTATGGTGTGGGAGGTCCTTCTGTCTCTGTGTTGCTTTCTTTAGTTAATGAATGAAGAACTGCTTTGAGCCTATGGCCGGGAAGAACAGAACTAGGCTGAAATGCTAGGCTGTATGCTTGGAGAAAGAAGGGCGGAGTCAGGGAGACACCATCGAGCCACCGCCAGAGTCAGACACACCAAAACTTTGCTGGTAAGCCACTGTCATATGGCAATACACATATTAATGGAGATGGGTTAAATTAATATGCAAGAGTTAGCCAATAAGAAGCTAGAGCTAATAAGCCAAGCAGTGATTTAAATAATTTGGTTTCTGTGTGATTATTTCAGGTTTAAGCTAGCTGGGTGGCCAGGAAGAACAAGTACCCTCCTGTAACAGTTGCATGATCCTTAAACTAAGAATTTTTTTATGCGACCCTCAGTGATAGAATATGTGTCCCAGTGTTGAGTGATCTTCATTGTTCAGTTAGTCATGAACCAAAGAATTGCCCTCACATTTATAAGAAGGTTCTTTAAACAGTATTTTTTAACCTCTTTGATATACATATATTAATTCTAAGAATTGTTATACAAAGATCACTTGTTTACATTCAACTCAACAGATTTACTAATATATGGGTGAGAAACAGATGACCTCAGCATTGATATTTGGTCATATTAGCAGTGTTCTCGGTCTTGCTATTAAGACCTGCTGGGCAGCCAATGAATACAACTATAGCACATCTCCTGCACGTTAGGTTCAGGGAACATCAAGGTTGAGTTAGAACAAAAACTCAGAGGATCAGAACATCTGCTGTAAGAGTATGTTTCCTAGAAACAATAGGGATGCTTTAGTCAAGATCCCTTAACTGTATATCTGCGTAAACAGGATCTGCGCAAACACAACTCCAATAAACTTGCTAATGTGGACGTGGGACCCTACCCCTACACAAAGAACAACAGACAACTAAGGAGAGCTGAAAGAGGGAGAAAGAGTCTTCCCCCAGGGAAGAACTCCTTAACTGGCTATCCAGTACTAAGTGCTCACCTGTGAAATCATAAATCATATACATAGAAGCAATACTAAACAGACACAGCAGGTTGTGTTTATATATTTATGCAAGTTGTGTGTGAGTTTAACAATAACAATTAAAGAAAAAGAAGCAATGAATTTGAGAGGCAGTTGGGCAACATAGGAGGTTGGAAGGAGGAAATGTTTGATGGGGATCTATCTATATTTTAACTTAAAAAATTAAAAATAAAAGGAAGACTTTCTGGGCTGCTGTGAGGCTTTGTGGCAAATGCTTGAGATTTGCTCAAGGCATTGAGATTGTTGAGTCACAACACTGGGGGAGGGGTTGCTGGGAGCCCAAATGTGAAAATTCCTGAGTTGTCATGGTTATTGAAAAAAATATTTTATTTTTCGGGTCATATTATTGGTGTGTGGGAAATAAGACTGTTTTACACACATAAAACTGAATCATATATGTCACATATCCTGGTAGCTAAACATAGATGGGTTAAGTGTAATTGGAGAGGGTGGGGCCCAGGATATACCTAACTGGGGGTAATGGCAGGATGCTCATTCAGGCTGGATGCCTAGGTTACATGGCAGCTGGCAGTTGGAGGAAGTAGCTTTCATCACTGGCAAACGAGAAGCAGTCTTGTGAGTAAGCAGGAAATCTAAGTTGAAAGTACACTAAAGATGTAAACACTACAGCACCTAGCTGCAGTAGGTAGGTCTGTGGTCTGAATAGGAATGGCCCCCACAGACTCATGCATTGGAATGCGTGGTCACAAGAGAGTGGTATTGCTAGGAGGTGTGGCCATGTTGGGGGAAGTGTGTCACTGGGGTCAACTTTGAGGTTTCAAATTCTCTTGCCAGCCCCAGCCCCCTCTCTCTTCCTGTTCCCTTGGATCTGGATGTAGAACTCTCAGTTACATCTCCAGCACCATGTCTGCCTATGTGCCAACAATCTTCCCACCATGTTGATAATGGACTGAATCTCTGAAACCATAATCCAATTTCAATTAAACGTTTTTCTTTATAAGAGTTGCTGTGGTCCTGGTGTCTCTCCACAGCAATAGAAACCCTAAGAGAGCAGGCTAGATAATGAATATTTTGGGGTATAATGGGCTAGCAGAGGCAACCTTTGAATTCCAGAGGTAAGAAACTTGTGAGAATAATTAGGTATCCAAGATAAAAAATTTGGCATAAAATTGTGATACAAGGGAGGTTGAAGGTCAGTTATTATTAGAATGATGAAAATGGTCAGTGTGTGATTTGACTTGAGCATGAGCCAATTTAGCACAGATGTTGATAATTTAAATCTCACTATTATCCTCCCCCCTGCCCTGTCTCCAAATGGAAGAGGGTGGGACCTAAGATTAAAGACTAGGCTCAAGGCTTCAGATAGGGCAAAGGAAGGATTCTACAGAGAGGAAACAAGATAGAATACATTCCACGAAACATTCCAGTCAACAATGGACCATATTTATGTGATCCTGCGAAAAATGAAGAAATGAAAATTTCCTGTTGCTTATTACAACCATTGTAACCATAAATGTCCTAGCATAAAGGATTACTTGTGAATTTGAATCTATGATGTGGTAAAGTGACTTACTGTGCTCTTGAACATAGTGCAACATAAACCCCATATACTGGCTTATTATGATACTGTTACTGGTTCATGTATCTACTATACTATTTTAATTGCTATTTTGCAGGGTAACCCTGACTATTTATTTATTTATTTATTTATTTATTGGTTTTTTGAGACAGGGTTTCTCTGTGGCTTTGGAGCCTGTCCTGAAACTAGCTCTATAGATCAGGCTGGTCTCGAACTCACAGAGATCTGCCTGCCTCTGCCTCCCAAGTGCTGGGATTAAAGGCATGCACCACCATCACCCGGCCCTAACCCTGACTATTTAAAAGGGCTAATTATAAAACAGTGTGCTCTACTATGCCAGTGACAGTTTCATATTTCTCATGTAATTGTATCTCTTAGTTGCTTCAAGGCAGCATACAAAATAACTTATTTGTTCTAACTAGTTTTGTGCGAGTTCTCTTTATGTTTGACCTATGATAAAACCATCTAAAATGAATGCTCAAAATTTATTCCCATTGTTAAACAATGTATGGTTACATGTTCTTTTTTAAGTAAAACATTAAAATTACTTGTAATGGGTTGTTTTCACTTTTTGCTCTTTCACTTTTGGGGGGACCCACCATCCAGGTCCCAAATACACACACACACACACACACACACACACACACACACACACACACACACACACACGTAGTGTTATTCCTACTTATAAATGCCAGGCCTTGGCTTGGCTTGTTTCTAGCTTAATTTAAATTATCACCCCTCACCTTTTGCCCCTGGCCATTCCCCTCTTCCCCCCCCCCCTTACTTCTGTGTATCTTACTTTCACTTTTACTCTGTGGCTGACTGTGTGGTTGGCCCCTATTTTCTTTCTCACCTTGTTCTTGCTCCTTGACCTTTTCTTTCCAGATTTCTCTCTGCCTGTCAGCCCCACCTATCCTTTCTCCTACCTTGCTATGGGTCATTCAGCTCTTTATTAGACCAATCAGGTATTTTAGACAGGCAAAGTTACACAGCTTCACAGAGTTAAACAAATGTAACATAAAAGAATGTAATACAATTTTGCATCATTAAACAAACGTTCCACAGAATAAATGAATATAACACATCTTAAATTAGTATTCCACAACAATTGCTAGGAGGTTTCTTTTAATTTTTTTATATTGGTAGTAATTAAAGTGATGAGAAATTTAATTTTTGGTTGAATTCCAGATTAGAAGCGAAAATGGAAATGAAAAAAACCACTTGTTATTATAGTAAGCATTATTAAATTTCCACTCAAGCTTCTAAATTTTATGTAATTTCACATGGGAAATATTAACATTTTCTCAAGGGGGAAAATAACTGAGAAAATATTTGCATTAATTTTTAAAATTTATAAATGCAGAAGGCTAGAGAGATGGCTAGATAAGCAGTTAGGACCATTTACTCCTCTTGCAGAGGACCCAGTTTTCCAGCACCGACATGGTGACTCACAACTGTCTGTAACTCCAGTTCCAGGGGACCCCATGCCTTCTTATGGCCCCTGAGGATAGTTAGGCATGAAAGAGGTACACACACATATGTATAGGCAAGACACCCATTGACACAAATAAAATAAAAAAAATTAAATTCTTTTCCTAAATGCAGTAATTAAATCACTTGGCTTTAAAAAATGTGATATTCTCATGGATCACAAGTATCAAGAACAGAATTAGAAATTATATATATACACATAAACATATACATACATTGTTCATAAATCATGAAACATGTTTTATATATATAATGTGTCATAAAGTATGAAACATCTTTCTAATGAAGAGAACTATATAGAGAGAGAAATATATGACACAGTGTGTTTATGCTCCTATTATAAATCAGCAATCTATCTTTAGAAATAAAAGATAAATTATTAAAGTTTTAAGAAGTTTGAGTGATTTTTTTTCTTCTCAAAAATAAATCGTATTTTATTTGTACAACATTGTTTTCTTGTATTGACTTCAAACCCAAATGATTACTTAATTGAAATTTTGGCCCTTAGATGTGGTGTTAAAACTCTATGTATCAGTTATGCTAGTCTTACTTATTAAAGGCATAAACAACATTGACCCTAACATCTTAAGTCAATATTTCAACTGTACCCATGTTCCTAGGGAGATACCATTTTCTGTGAAGGCAACCCTGCCAATATCTTGTTTAAGCCTGTGTCTCAGTGTTAATCTGTAGCCTGGTTCACATTCCCATTGCACCCCTTTTAGTATAGAAACAAAAGGACTTCATTCAGGAAGAAAAAAATAATTATCTAGGTTTTCAGTCCTTCACTTTCCTCAGCAAAAAAGCAGACTTTTTGTGTATCTTCAAGAAAAAGAAAAAAAACAAGATAATGTATTAGCTAAAAAGTTTCCCCTTGAACTCATAAAGATCCGCCTGCCTCTGTCTCCTGAGTGCTGGGATTAAAGGCTTGCACCACCACGTCTGGAACCTAGTTCCAGGACAGGAACGGGAAAAACAAAACAAAACAAAACAAAACAAAAAAACAAAAACACAAAACAAAACAAAACAAAACAAAAAAAAAAACACCCTACTGAGAAACCCTGTCTCGAAAATAAAAAAAAAAAGTTTCCCCATTTAGTTAGTCAATAGTTTTAAAACATAAGTAGGAAGATGAAGGTTACTTAAAAATCAAGAGGCATTCCATGATTTTTTGAAATGCGGAATTCACCTTTTTGATTAAATTACATATAATATGTGGGTTTTATTATAAAAATTAGGATTAATGCTATTAAAGAAGATATATTTATTCTAGGTACTATTTCTTCACAACTTCTATTTTGATAGTCTTTCAGGATAAAACGTCACGGCAATTTGAAAAATAAAAGTTTGTACATTTATTCGGGACAAGAAATTTCTCGATGAGGGAACTGTTTTGTGACGACTATAAAACCACACAGAAATGAGCAGAAAAATCCAACTTTTGTTTTGGGATTTTGTTGTCGTGTTTCCTCAGAAAGGAATTTAATGTCTTAGGACTTTGACAGCTAATCGAAGCTCATTAAGACTCTGCGGGGTTCAGAAAATGCACACAACAGTTAAGCTCGTACAGCGTGATGTTTCTTCTCAACAATGCTTTCTAAATATTAAGACCGTACTGCAAATTCAGGCCAAGAATGTGGGATCGGTGCGACAAGTTGGAATGGCAACGTCAGCTACTCATGCAGATATCGGCAGAGGGCCGACTTTCCAAGACACCGGGCTGAGCTGTTGGCCCAGCACAGAAACGGACGCAAAGCCAGGTGGCCATGGGCGCCTAGCCGGAAGTGCATGGAGCGGGACCTGGTGCCACACCGGAAGGAAGGCGCCCTCACGCAGAGGCTGTCGGGAGAAGCCCAGGCGGCTATCTGGCTGTGTGGTTCTCTTTGCGAGCTGCGAGGGCCCAGCACGGGAAGCTCTAGAGAGATGAACTGGGTCGGGGGCTCACGGTAAGGTGTGCGCTCCGGTTGAGACCCAGTCCCGTGCGCCTCGCTTATCGCCATCTTCCCGGCCCCAGCGCAATGTCACAGGCTTTGCTGGTGGATGCCAGGGTGGAGGCCTCAGCACTGTCCAGGGTCCTATACTACTGCTTCCCACTCTCCACTGGTTTCTCTGAGGGGCCGCGATGGGCAGGGCGAGGTTCCTGCTGTATTTCCTCTACCCCAGGAACTCCCCTCTAGTGAGGACCCCTGGGCATGGATACAGTCTTTGCATGAATTTCAAAATAAGTCTATATCCACTTGTGCTTATATATGGCAAGGAAGCAGATTACCAAATTTTCAAAGTATAACTTTTAAAAACTTGTTATTATTAGTTTTGTTTGTCTTACTATTAAGCCTAGGCTGGCCTAGAACTCAATAATTCTACTGCTTCAGCTTCTAAAGAGCTGGGCTCACACTCATGTGTCACCAAGCCATAGCTTGTTTTATTTATTTATTTAATTTGCCCGAATCTGTTTCTTTTTTTTCAAAGATGTATTTATTATGTATACAGTGTTCCGTCTGCATGTACACCTGCAGGTCAGAAGAGGGCACCAGATCTCATTACAGATCTTTGTGAGCCACCATGTGGTTGGTTGCTGGCAATTGAACTCAGGACCTCTAGAAGAGCATCCAGTGCTCCTAACTGTTGAACCATCTCTCCAGCCCCCATAGCTTGCTTTTTAAAAGACAAACACAGTGAAAACTTACTTTGAATAAAGATGATTTATAATTTGTTCAGGATTAATAACAGAAAATACTCATGATAAATTTATTTTTATATAACTGTTCATTGTTTGATAGATATGTATATATGATATACATTTTATATATGTATTACATTATGCATATAATATACATATATCTATATAAATCTCACAAATAGATCCCAGGATAGCAGGGTATTAATATAATATTGAGACTTTTATGGGAGAAAGATGACTAGTATTTTAACAGGAGCACCTCTGTTGAGTATGTTAGCATTGTATTTTAGAAGTGTATGAGTTTTAAAGTGGGTGTGAGGACCCATGCCTGTAATTTCTTGTAGCATGTCCACAGTGAGAGGGTCTCTATCAGTTTCAGGCGAAAAATATCATCTCAGAAAGCAAAACAGGGCCCTTGAGATGGCTCAGCATGCAAAGATGTTTGTCATCCAAGCCACTGGACCTGAGTTTAATCCCTGGAACCCACATGGTAGTAGAAGAGAAATGAGTAAGGAAAAAATGTCATGTGATCTTCACACACAGGATGTGTGTTTGTGACAAAGCTTTTCTTGCGGACACAACACACAGGCCTACTTACCCCAGATGGGGAGTTTGTGACAGACCTAAGTACATATAGCACAAAAGTCCAACTTCAAACTCTATTACAGAGCTACAGTATTGAAAACAGCTTGGTATTGGCATAAAAACAGAGAAGTCGACCAATGGAATCGAATAGAAGACCCTGACTTTAACCCACAAACCTATGAACACCTGATTTTCGATAAAGGAGCTAAAAGTATACAATGAAAAAAAGAGAGCATCTTCAACAAATTGTGCTGGCAAAACTGGATGTCAATCTGTAGAAAAATGAAAATAGATCCATATCTGTCACCATGCACAAAACTCATGTCCAAATGGATTAAAGACCTCAATATTAGTCCGAACATACTGAACCTGATAGAAGAGGAAGTGGGAAGTACTCTACAACACATGGTCACAGGAGACCACTTCTTATGTATAACCCCAGCAGCACAGACAGTAAGGGCCTCATTGAATAAATGGGACCTCCTGAGACTGAGAAGCTTCTGTAAAGCAAAGGACACTGTTGCTAAGACAGAAAGGCAACCCACTGACTGGGAGAAGATCTTCACCAACCCCGCAACTGACAAAGGTCTGATCTCCAAAATATATAAAGAACTCAAGAAACTAGACCGTAAAAGGCTAATCAACCCAATTATAAAATGGGGCACTGAGCTGAACAGAGATCTCTCAACAGAAGAAGTTCAAATGACCAAAAGACACTTAAGGTCATGCTCAACTTCCTTAGCGATCAGGGAAATGCAAATCAAGACAACTTTAAGATACCATCTTACACCTGTCAGAATGGCTAAAATCAAAAACACCAATGATAGCCTTTGCTGGAGAGGATGTGGAGAAAGGGGTACACTCATCCATTTGCTGGTGGAAATGTAATTTTAAATGCACTTTTCTTTGAAAGATGGGGCTCTATAGGGTGAAGCCCTGTACTGATTATAAACAAATGAGTATCTCCTGTGTTAACTGTGAGAGCAGGCGATGGTAGATCAGGCCAGTTGCTCTTGCTTCTCTTATCATCCTAAAGGCCTCAGCCTGAGAGTACTTTTATTGAGCAATGGAAGCCAACTAAAGCTGCTGCAGCATAGAATTTTTAATTCCTTTTTCAAGCTGTCTTTGAGTCCTTGGTTGCTAGGGGCCTGTTTTAGTTGAAAATTTTTGAGAACTGTTAGCAACTTAACTTTTTGATAATTGACTGGAGAGCAATTACAATACTCCTTGAGAACAACCCCAGAGCATTGCAAGTCAATTCAACAAGAACATTTTTACATACAGGACTGTTTTACATAGCTAGGCAGGGGGATTAAATATATATAAAATTTTGACTTCACAAAAGCACTTTATGATAGCATTTTGAATTATGTAAATCTAGATATTAGTAGAAACAAATAATCATAGATATGTAACAAGTATTGTTTTAAATATAAGAACCTTGTAAAGTTACGGGGAATTGAAGCATAGTTTGTGATTTGTTAGTAAGTTCAGTGTGCCTATCAGTCAGATATGTTGCATAAAAGGATGAGTACTGTAAAGATTGCACAGATAGTGGTGGTAATTCAAAGCCAAGAAACTGGAAGTTACTACATCTTAAATGACCTCAATATTGTGGAAGACAAGTGCCATTGAAGTAATAAAACAAAGCTTCTTAAAGTTGAAAAGAAGATAAATATATGATGAGATTGAAGACTTACTTTTTAGCAAGACTTCCTGAAAGAAACAGGTTGGGGGGGGGGCTGCTTTAAAAATCCTTGAATGTTTGGAAGCTAGTTGGTGGGTCTGCATTAAGATGCTTTCACAATAAAGGGCTGCATATATTTTTTGTTACATGAATGAAGCAGGGTACAGTAAGTTTGTTGTTTGGTAAGAGGCATCTATTTGTATGTGCTCATTGGAAACAATGTTCTCATATGCAGAAATGATAGTTTTATCACAGAATTGATTGATTGAATATCATCAAAGTTTGGTAGCTGAAAGATCTTCACAACTTGTCTCACTTAAAACAAACGACATTTGACCTCTAAGAGCTCTTAGGTTTAGAAATTCTATCAGTCCCACATAAAATGTCTTTTATAAAAGAAAGAGCTTGTAGCAAGAAAAGTAAACCCTTCCCCTTAAATTATATACCTTGTTGGATTTTTGGATTTAGTGTTTTAGTTTTTGATGTCTTTGCCAGATGTAACAATTCATTTCAGGTGAAATCTCAAGTGTCAGTTGATTAAGCCACAACAAATTCATGTGTATGCACAATAGTTCCAAATTCTTATAGTTGAAACTTAAATAGTCTACAGCAATGCCATAATTTTTATATTTGAAATTGAGGACAAATACATCATTTTCCTCCTTTACATTACTCCCCCAACCCATGTACCCCTTGCTCTCTTTTAAATTCATGGCCTCTATTTCATCAATTGTTCATATATATATATATACAT